CATAAACTATGAATTATATATTTGACTTTCAAAAGACAGCAGGATAAGATTTGTTGTCATAAATAACTACTCAAGCATGTAGTGGGTAAGATGTGCAATACCTGCTCTGTCCACAGGGGGCACCAACACTAACACAAACCAAAAGTTCCTCCAAGAAGTTTTACATCAATCCTTTGGGTTTATGGGGCTTCTAGTTTTGTCACTTTATCATCAGCTGAAGTATCGTGGGCGCTATTGTGATTTATTTTGGACTTTTTTCAACGCCTGCAGATTAGTGGCCGTCTTGAATGCTCAATTCTGATTGGTCGATATGACAATTAGTCTGTATAGTTGTTCAGAAGCTTTTGTGAATAATATGCTTTTGTGCCACAACTATTTACAAATGAATAAAATATATTTAGAGCAACTTCTTTTTTGTCTTTAAGTGAGTTGTGTGAGGATCAAGTTAGCATATCAAGCTAGAAGTTGTTGAGGAATAAACCAGTCAGGGTGGGGAAACACCAAAACCATCCTAGTAGTAGGGGTGAGAGAAAAAAATCGATACAGCATAATATCTCGATATTTTGTCTGGTGATATGTTGTATCGTCTCATTTCCCAAGTATCGATTTTTCAAATTATTTGCTAACATGAAGTCAAATCTATAATAATGGAAATATGAATTCAACTGTTTGTCCAATGAGGTTGGCAGAGGTGACATCATAGAGCAGGAGAAAGTTAGTGCAACAAATATATATAAGGTTTGCAAGATGTGCAACATAAAAATACAAAACAGCGTAAAATAAGACAAACATACAAACAAAGGAACAACAAATGCTAAATTAGCTAAACAGCTGAAAAAACAGTATAAATTTCAATATATTATATCGCATACTCACTGTATTGCAAAGTGTTAAAATCGCAATAACATCATATCGTGGCCCAAGTATCGTGATAAAATCGTATCGTGGGGCCATTACATGATCTCTTTAAAGACCAACCTGTTTTGACATAGACCCAATGTGAAAATGGGATCAGACTGAGCCCAGTCTTGTAAGATCAGACTCAGGAGAGCCTACAGCAGGATGGAGCTCAGGGACTAAACAGTCTGTTTATCTGTCACAACAGTCTCTGTGTCAGAGGAGGTGATCACAGAGACATAAATATGACGTACAACACAGTGGACCCGATCACTCCTCATGACCTCTGTGATCGCAACAGACGATACCTGAAGTTCACCATGAAACACCACACGGGGTAAAACAATAGATTTTCAAAGTCGATGGGTCTCGAAACCCTACGTCTGCAAGATCAGGCTGTAATCCTGAGCTTAGTAGGCAGAGATGTAAAGCTGCATCCTAAAAATAAAGCATTAAGTCACATGAACAAAACCCAAATTAATCCTGAGGTTTTTCATATTTGATCGCTAAAACAGCTGACTGTTTAGAAAAATCCACTCTTCAGCCCTCACCTCTCCGAGCAAGATGTCAGAGTGTTCCACATACGCCTGTTTATTTATACACTTAACCTTAATCTGGAGTGTCCTTCACTGCTGCAAGTGTGACTTCATGCAGCGAGACTCTGTGTGAAATTCAGGTGGAGCAGAAGCAGTTTGGAAAGGAGCCCACGTGAGTGTAAAAGCAGCATCTCTACTAGAGTGAAAAACTATTTTTCTACTTTCAGAGTAAAAAAGCAGAAAAGGTGTATCAGAGGGGATGTTTAGTTTGATCAGAGCTACTCTTTACTCTCTTTTGTGGATTAAGTCTCATAGAAAATCTCATAATTTGAAAAAAGATGTTCAGGTTGTGAAGCTCAAATTCTCTGCAGCTGAAGGACAGAAGAGGCGACTTGAGGACAAAAACGCTTGAGAGGTAAAAAGACGATCACAACACACAACCTGTGCAAATCAGAAGGGTGTTCTCAGACTGTACTGCACACACACTCACACACACATACACTCACACACACAGCTGCATCATCCCGCACCAATTACCACAGCTGTGACCTCACACGTCCGGGTCAGTGATTCCCTCAAAGTGGACAAAAAGAAACTTGTCCTGGAATCTCGGCTCCCAATTACCCTGCCCTGAGCCCGGCGGGCCGACAATGCTGCAGGTGAGAAGTTGGACCGGGCCTTGTCTCAGATTGGCAGCGGCACAATGGGGCCCTGTGGCATCGCCTGGAACCACTGTGAGCTTGTTTACAGACGGACTGCCAGGAAAGAGCTTCTTTAGAAAGAGGGATTTCCAGATGAGACGTCTTTATTTTCTGTGTTTTGTCCTCCTGGATTGTGACACAGATCCACTTAGAAACCACATAGTCATCAGGATTCCCTTTTATTTGATCTTTGGCAGACTTCTTTTAGAGACAATGTGCTACGGCATCTACACAGATACACACAGGGAGTGGATGGCACTCTGGGTGTCATGTTTGTGGGTCAGATCTGGGCGGCACAGCTTGATGAGACTGGCAATATTTTCACTAGATGGCATTGCTGTTCAAAGCTGAAATCATTTTGCTTTGGGACATTCAACACAACACAATATACAGAGTGTTATGGAGCTCCCTACACAAGGACATACACAGGTACTCAGAACTATGGTTAGGTAGTTTATTCAACAACTTCTTTAATGTCATTTAGACAAAAACTTTATCATAGCGCAAAACTCCTTCAGTGTTTGTATCTAAATTAAGTAAATCACTTTTTTGTTTTTTTCATTAAGCATCTTGAAATAACACTTTGTCAATTGGCAATACATCAATTTTAATTCCCACAATCCATCTGTACTGATTTGTAACTATGTGACAAATTCATATGATTTCCTGTAATGATTCCTAATGATTTTACTTTTGCTTTAAAGTCTAAATTGTGGAAACATTTATGCTTTTATACAAAAATCTGTGCAGAGTGTGCAGGAGTGGAGTGAGGCACATGTTCTCCCGTTAAAACAGCATTCACCTGGTGTCGCCACACCAAGTGACCTTGGTGGACGGTTCTGAGTGGGTTTGCAAAAGTGCTTCTGAAAGCGTTCCCACAGACCAATCAGCATGTGATGAAGTGCATCACAACGGAAATGTAAACAGATATGGGCATGCAGAGCAAAGAAAGAATCTGTACGTGCAGGTAGGGCTGCACGATTAACTGATTTTAGGTCATAATCGGATTATTTGATTATGACGAAGTTAAAAAAGTTAAAATCATCAAATTGGTTTTCCTCTCTATCATGTCTCACGCCTCCAGGCCACCATAGCTCCCCCTTCCTGCAGGAGTGCTCCCCAGTTCCCACACACACCAGTGTAAACAAACATGGCGTTTGCAAAAGAAGGAGTTAAATAGGGCTTGATACGGCCCTATTCCTTGGTGGAATTGGTACGGCTTCACAGTTTTGGATGAAGAGTAAATCACTCCCCGCTGCAAAGTCTGTCTGAAGGCGGTATCAACCCGTCAACACGGAAACGATTTCAGGAGTTAACGCAAAATTTTTTTGTCATATCAGCATTTCATCCACACGGAAACGGCGTTTCGGGGTGACTGTAAACAGTACTTTTTGAAAACGGGTCAGAAAGCGCATAAATCCGTAAACGACGACCATTTCATCTCCATGTGGATGTCTATCTGCATCTCCAGAAACGATTATGTGACACACAGCGTAACTCTTTTATGGCGACTTCGCTTGTCCAGCCAAAACAACCTTTATACACATGCTCTGTACTCTTCTTCTGTCTTTTGTGCATTTCCCCGGCAGCGTAACAGCGCCACTTACTGGCTTGGCATATTCCGTGATGATAGAAAAACTTATTATTATTAAAGTGAAGTTTGGTGAAGTTGTCGCTGAATAAAAAAAGCCAAATAGAGAAAACATTGGGATATTGTTTTTGGCCAAAATCATGCAGCCCTCTTGCAGGTATTTCAGTCTTGTCAAAATTAAAGTCCATCATCTGCTCCATTTAAAATCACCACAATAACAGATTCAACAGACTCCCCAGCTAAAGCAGAGCTCCCATGTCATCATCTGACTCAAATCAAAAGTTCCCCACTGTAGTTTCAACTTTCCAAATTATTCATAATTTGTCGTAATGAAAGCTGCACGTTGTTTTTTATTACTGGGAAACAATGAGTGTTCAGATTTTAGTCGCCCCTAATGACTTACACGTGGATTAAGGTAAAAAAATGATCATTTCAGCTCTGTCTTTGTTTTGCATCATAGCTGGGTTGTGAGCGGGTGAAGTAAATCTGATTGATTTAACCTGAATATTTAATGATTCAAAGAAAGTTTCAGGCAGATGTTGTGTAAGGAAGGATCAGGAAAGTTGAAACGAGGGTGAGAGTGGAGAGGAGCGAGACAGGGATGAAACACTGTAGCCGCGCTGTCTTTGGGAAACAGAGCGGCGGTATGTGTGGCAGAGAACGACTAAGGTCAACAACAGAGCCCTGCATTGATTTCACATATGTGCTGAGGTCAAAAACTATCATGGGACCTTTGCCCCTGGGCAGTTTCCAATCATTCTGTTTCTCATAATCTGTGGAAAACTTGTCTGCTTTTCACAGTTCAATGACCACTCATCTCTGCAGCAATTACAGTGCCCTCTTTGCACCCTGACCGCTCAATGCCATGTACAAGTGATCTAATGTGATTCTGTTTTCCCGCTGCTTTTAGTACACCCAACAAAGCCCAGTCCCTGCCAGTACGCTGCAGGCCCAGCCGCCCGTCTGGCCTGAACTGACCCCCTGCGAAATCTGAGAATCGAGGACTTTCTAAAAAAGTCGTTAAACTTTAGCCCATTAAAATAAACGTTCAAAAACCTACCTGTGGTTTTTTACAAACCATGAACCAAAACTAAATATGAATGTTGTGCCTCCATCTCCAAAAATCGGTGCACAAACAACCCGTGACGGGCGCTGACATTTCGCTCTGTTGACGCATTTTAGAGCCAAGGCTTAACAAGAAGTTCTCTGGCTAACCAAAGCTCTTATCAAACTCACCAAAACAGCGTCAGAGACCCCTCAGGTCGGTACAGTCCGCAGCAGAACTGGTTCTTCTTGATTTGGGGCAGACACTGCGACTATGGAAAGTTCAGCAATTTTAGTGCGCATCACGTAATCACCACAACAGTTCCTCAAACTTTTACTGCATAAGAGATAGTAAGGCAATGCTAGATGCCAGCTCCTAATGCAACTGTATTTTGGCTTTACTTTTGTCAAGGTGAAGATGAAGGCAGGCTGTCCATGTTTATAGTATAGTCAGTGGGGTTACCCTTCAGTCTCAAGCACTGGCACCTCTGAATACAAACAAAACAACCCAACCTAACCCACTCTAACCTCAGCTAACCTCCTTATTATCACACTGAATTGATCAATTGTAAGAAATCTTGAGAAGAATCATTGCTGGAGATTGATAAATGATGACAGAGTTGAAAGCTTTCTGCTGTTTTTCAAGTTTGAAAGGCCGATTTCAAACAAAAGCATCTTGAGCTGAGCTTTTTTGGAGAGCAGAAATACTCTGATTTGTTTTCAGAGGAGTGTAGGAAGTACATTCAGAGTAAAATAAACAGTAAACATCCTGTCTGTATATATATTTTTTTCATTCTCGGTATTAACAGTCAGTTGAAAACCGATTAGGATGGCCCCCCTCTGCACACAACACTCAATTGATAAACCCCGAGGGGCATTTGAAGATGACTTAGTGGGTCAAATGCAGCCTGCAGATATGGCAGATAGTTAGAGAGAGAGAGATGCACTGCCACAGACACACACACTCACACACACACACAATGTGCAGAGCATTCACAAAGTGGAAACAGACGGCTCTAAAAATAAACCCTCTGAAATATTTAACTTACTGACCCAGAAAACAGCCTCGGTGTAATATGTTTGCACAAACAGAGGGCACCATGACGGCAGAGCCATGATATCATTAAGGCTGACGCTAACTCCGAACAAAATGCAAGATTCATACTCGGCTGTCTGCCTCAGGTTCATTTAGTAAAGTCACATGCAAGGGAGGCATGTGTCACAGCTCTTTAGTCATTTATTCGAGGCAGAGAAAAATCAGCCAAAGAGTGATTAAATCAGGTCATTCGCCATCAAATTTTCTCAAAGAGGGACTCAAGCGTTTTTAGTCCTAGACCTCTGTGATGTTGGGGGAGAAAGAGAGGCAGACTGACAAATAAAATTATACACATTTTTAGTCAAGGAGCATCTTATGTTGTAGATGTTATAGAAAATGTTGATTTACACAGACAAGCAACAATGCAGCCAACTAAAGCAGATGAGAAGGTTACTTTAGGTGTTGCAGGCGGTTATTCTCTGTGCTGATAATCTTAGATTGTGCTGGTTTATGTGATACAGCTGCTCTTTGTATCAGTCTGATAATCTGCATTTATATACTTAGCTCATGGGGGGTACCTCAAACTTGAGCTCATTCAAGTCCAAAAGGGAAGATTTTACAGGACTTGGACCAAGTGGACTGAATATTTTTCACCTGATAGCTACGGTTTAAGATGTTAGAAATACCTGAATAAAGTCGGTCTATGTCTGACGTATGAGAGGAAATGAATGAGAGTACGATGATGCCAGTTCTTGATTTATTCATTGACCTTTTTCGTCATCCCTTTTTTTACCCATCTTAGATGTAGGCTTCCGGTGTTCATTGGTAAATAATTCAAGTTTAGGTTACCTAAAAAGAAAAAGGTATTTGGAGGAGCTTTATTATAAAAATATAGACCCTATGGACTTCAACTGTTATCTTTATTTCCTGAGTAAAACTAATAGTATTTCACTGTTATGTGTTTTTTTTTAATGTAATTTTAGTAATATGTGAAATACTTCCATTATTGTTTACCACTTTAAAATGCAAAGAGAAACAAACATTTTTACCACAGTGTCAAAAGGCAGAGGAGGGATATGCCAGAGTCCGATAAGCAAATTAAACTGATACAAAGTGTGTGATCAGGTTGATCCTGGTTTTGCTTTTTGAACCTAGTAGTACGGGATTTCGACCAATCAGAACCAAGATAACTGCAATCAGTAACAATTAAACTCCTTGTATCAGAAAACTAACTGTATAAGTTTGCTGTATTTTTTGCTTCTTCTGTTAAAGCACTTTGTAAACATCAGTTTTTTTAAGGTGCTATATAAATAAAGTTCTTATTCTTATTATTGATGTTGTTATCATTATTATTTTTATTATTGTTAATAAAAAATTATGTGTGATTTCTTAGGCTTCGCTTAAAGGCTGATATTTCTCTGTCTGCTTTATAACAAGCTTGACAAAATTCTTCATTTTTTGATGCTTTAAGACTGAAAACATTTAATAACTCGTGACAAATGCAGCTGAAAGTCTGAACAGCCGGAGTCAGCTTTACAAATAACATGACAAAGTCAGAGTTCATTTTGACTCTCATTAATTCTCACTTGTGTTTTTGCTCTGTTTGATTTATACCTGAATGCATGACAAAAGAGCCGGGCCTGAAACTCTTTACCGAGCACGCCCTCTTGACACTTGATATATAGAGCCATGCATCTCCAAAGCTAATATTATAATGAATTGGATCTGTGTCTACGTGTGTGGCCCGACAGCGGACTGTTTGTGAAGATGTCCCAAAAGCAATACCCCCATCTCCAGAATCAACAGACCCTCATTTAGCATTCCCAGATCCCCTGAAATGAAACGTTCGTTTTTTCCATAACTATCATCTCCGGCAAAGCATTGCGAGGGAATTGGATCTGTCCCTGCACAACCCCTCTCCACTCAGATCTCATCAGTGTGGGTTGGAGTCGCCCCTCTCCCATGGAAATTGCTCTAAACGGCAGGGAAATGCACATCATTGAGGTGCAGACCTAAAACGGCGTTGGCCTCCCTCACATACAGACACCACCCCCCACAAGCGCTCCTCTTATAAATCCTTAAACAGGGCCTGACTCCAATGTATGGCAACACCATCAATATTGATGTGGGAGAAAGTTCTTCCAAAGCCGCCTCAGTCACAGAACATTAATATTGATAGTGTTGTGCACCAGCCCGGTCGCTTGGTGCGACTCTAAAATGGTAATGGCATCTGGACCGGGGGTTAGAGGCCAATATCATCGCTGAATATGGACATGGCTGTTTAGCTGCACGCAGGACAGAGGGCCATGCCAATCATCGTGTCCTCTTCAACCTGAGCGGACTAAGAAGGGCATGTCTGCAAACACCGAGGAACTTTGACTCTCACTTCATCCTGCATTTCTGATGAACTTTTTACAATCAAGACATATTAAAGAGTGGTGTTACCCATAGCAACGGTGTATCAGTACAGTATATCACATCCTTGAATTGAAGGTCCAAGAATGGGACGCAGATGGAAATGAATTGGCAGCTGATTGTTTCTTTCTTTGCAACAATTCATGCCGTCTATTGTTCACAATTTAATAACTGCATAATAAGGGACTGATGACGCAAATACACTCTATTCATTGGTTTGGCTATAGAGCAGTTCTTAGCATGCTGAGATACTAACATCAGCTCTGCCTCACATTTTTTGTAATATAAGCAAAGACTGATTTTGATCACAGGGGGCGCCAAAACTGACAGAAATCAAAAGTTCCTCACAGGAGCTTTAATATCAACAGTTACTGCAAATGTAGTCAGTGCAACTCCTTCTAGATCAGACCTGGGTATTTTACAGCCCAGCCCCTTGGATGTCCCTGCCCGGCCCTTCGTGAGGTCCGTCAATCAAATCATCAACATGCTATACAAGTGTGTTGCTTTTATTTTGAAAACCTAGCCGTTGTTTTAATTTCCGTTTGGACGCATGTGCACATATCCTAGATCTGCATTCATGAACAGAGACAAGTTTAAACATCTGCAAAATACACGTGGACGCATCATAGTTGCCACATCCGCTTATAATAAAAGACTTTAAGCTTGTTTCTCTCTGAAGTCGCTTGTCGAACTCGCAGGTGCGCTTTTTGGGGCTTGTTTTGAACTAGTAGTTGCTTATTTGGGCTTTTCTGTATGTGTGAACCCCCCTGATTTGAGGTTGAGGTTATTGTTGGTTCGGCCCTCCAACACAGTTCAGGTTTCCCATGTAAAAATTTATTGCCCACCCCTGTTCTAGATGATGACTAATGACCAGTCTAATAATCCTAAAAACACTTCCACTGACTCAAAATTAACCCCCTTTGTGCCGTGTTCACTCCCACAGATGTGCGGTTTCATTCTCTTCCAACCAAAAGGTTCAACAGTGAGTCTGTTTAACATTTAGATGGGATCAAACAACAGCAGCCCGATCACATCTCACCAGATTATTGATCCCTCACAAAGCAGACCGTCACTGTCAAACATACACATACACCCTCTACGACGACGACTGACAGTGAACATGTTGCAGAGCAGAAAGTCCCGCTGCTAAGACAAGACAGGGGTCACCGGTACGACTGTCAGGCCACCTCCCCCTCCTGAAGAGCGAGCTTCACTTAATACCCACTACATTTTGATGGTGAGTCAGTGAGTGGGACCTCTTTGGGGGACAAAGAAGAGTGACCTCAATTCAATCTGACATCCCACCTATCGATCTGGGCTGCCGTATCCCCCAGAGATGGACGTCTCGCTCACCCTTGTGCTGCCAACGTTCACATTTAGCGACAAGACGAAACACGTCTTTTTATTAAACTGAATCCCTCCACGTGTCTGGCCTCCTCCGCACAGGTCTAAATTACAAACAGTGACCTGCTTTCACAGACCCTCCTCCTCCTTCTCCTCCTCCTCCTCCCACATAGGGCACTGTTCATCTTCACTGGGGCCCTTTTGCTAAATTGAAAGTGTGTCATAACAAATAGAGGAGGTGTCTGGCTTAAATGCATGTGACTGCCGCAGATGTCATCTCTGTCAGAGCGGCATCCCGTGTATTTTTAACAGGGCACACTGTGACACGGACCCAGGACAATTACTGTCAGAGCACACGGGGTGATGAATCTGCTGCCTTATTGTGTTTGTCATCTCGACCTCTGTCTGGAACCTGATTGGTACGGTCGCCTACCTTCAGAGGGCTCAGATGGATGCTTTGTGTCTGGACTGCATGTGTAAATGTGAACATCATTACACGGACGCTGCAGACTCATGAAGCTCACTCAGTTAGACAAAGAACAACTCTAGCATCATGAGGTAAAATACAATTGACTAAAAGTGCACTAGTAAAAAAGTTACAGAAAAAAGACAGGAAGGAATATATTCGGTAAACGGAAGTAATTTGTAAGCCGTACTATATTTTAGAAAGGATTCTCGTCACACTGCAAGATAATGAGGTTAGTTTTAGGCTCAATTCCTCCCATAGGATTATTTTGCAGTCATGTGAGGTATGTTGAGAGTGACTTACGAAAAAAGAACAAATGTAGCCATGGCAACAAAAGTAAACATAAAGCATAGTGACAGATAGACATCAGAAATTAAGGACCAACTGGTTGACTTTCAGGCAGCTATGTAAGAGTTCCTACAATGTCTCAATGTATAGATGTGCACAATTCAACTGCTGAGCCAGAGTTGAGGTCCTTACACGCCGGGAGCGTTTTTATCGTTCGATTATTTCAGACGTCAATATTTTTTTTCGAACCTGTATCCTGTCAACACAAGCGCTCTCATCAGTGACATTTTCCTGTCCTGCGATATTGCGGCATTTATTTTTTCGCATCACGGTTGAATTTTCTAAAGTTTCGCATACTGTTTGTCCACTTCTGACCAATCAGATTGCGTGTTGTTGCGACGTCTGATTCACCGGTATATCCAACATGGCCGACCCGCTGATTGTTTACATGTCGGAGAACAGAGTGCTCTTTGAATAAAAAACACAAACATTACAAAGATAACGACCTGAAGGACAACTTGTGGAGAGTCATAGCGTCGGATTTCTCAGTTTTACAGTGTAAAAAGACAGCAACACCCAATATTTCAGTGATAAGATGTTATTTTACACCAATACTTAATTTTAGATAGTATAAGAGGAACATAATTGAGACCCTAGAAATATACCGATGATGAAAGGATCCTCTACAATAGTTTAAAATCAAGAAATGGTTAAAGTAGGAGAGTCGTTGTTGTTAAATCACAGCTAGAAAGAAAGAAAACTTCCCTAAATGCAGGAGACGAACACATAATAGAGCCAACAAAGACTTACAAGCATAACTTAAACTGTTATATGCAAAGTAATTCATCCACAAAATAAAGGGTTGTAAATGCAGCAGCTGGCTTTGATATTTACTGGCTGTGATTTGTATTTTGAAGCAATGTATTTTGCTTTTATGGTTTATGCTGAGCCGGGTGTTTGCAATAAATGGCAGGTGTGCAAAATTGAAGTGCAAAAGTAATTCAGCTCCTGCCATTCAAAAGAGCTATGTCACTTTGATTTACCTGTACACATAAACATGCACACACACACACACACACACACACACACACACACACACACACATAGATGCACACACACACACACACACCTTTGGGCCACATGTGTTTTTTATATTCATATGGTGAGGGAGAGAAAAAAATGTGCCTCCAAAATGGAGGTTGAGGGGTCATGGTGTTTGGCCAGGAGTGACAGCTCCGAAATGAAGGCATAAGTCAATCGGCTACTCTTCATACGCACACACACATAAACAGACACACACACACACACACACACACACACACACACACACACAGAAATGCATAGGCTGGGGCAGGAGGGATGGCAGTGGGCGGTCAGGATAGAGGGAGGGGGTTGAGGGGTTGGGGGAGGTAGATGGAAGAGGGGGAGGTTAGGTGTAAGGGGCACAAGGTTAGCATGTGGGGGAGTGTGTGTGCGTGTGTGTGTGTGTGTGTGTGTGTGTGTGTGTGTGTGTGTGGTGAGAGGGAGGGAACTGAACAGCATGAATGAAAGTGTGAATGCACCAGTCTACTCTTGTCCAAGTTTCTGTTGTCTGTGCGAGAGTGTAATTACTTAGATACACACACAATCACACACATGCACACGCACACTTTGTGACACACCTTGAACCCAGAGGTCAAAGACCATGTGTGTTCTCTCTCTCTCTCTCACACACACACACACACACACACACACACACACACACACACACACACACATTTATACACTCTTACACTGAGTCATGGTGTTTGTTTGCTCTGTGTCACGCACCGAACAGACCTCCATGAACATTTGGGCTGCGTCCCAGCGTGAGCTCAGGACCCCCCCTCCCACTTTGTTTCAAATCATCGATCGATCTGAGGTATTGATCGGCACATGTGCCTCTTTCCCTCATTGAATCAAAGTGCTCCCTGTAAAGAAAAATATCTGAAAGTGGCAGCACGACTGTTCATACTTAATGATCTGTGGTTGAAGTGTTTTATTGGTGTCAGAGGATTCAATATGAAAATATCCTGCTACTGTAGATAGATGGGAAAATATAATCTAAAGATTGAATCACAAATTTTAATTTGCTATATTCACTTAGCGGCCATTTTTCTTGGATGACTTGACCAGGGTGGTGGCTAAAAAGTCATTTTAGTGGCCACACTGGGCTGCACATTTGCACAGCTGGTGTTATCATTTTTATTGATCTGCAACTGAGAAAAAGAGTAGAAGAAATCAGGAGATATGATATGCGATAGTTCACAGTTAAAGGGATATTCCGGCATAAAATTAATTGAGGGTCAAACACACCGTAACACCAAGTTAGACCAAGTTAGGCGGTGGTCCTGCATTATACAGCTTCAGTGTAGTACTGAAGTCTTACTCAGCTTCAGTATAAAATTAACACGATTATAACCACTGCATGCACACACTTTGCATGAGCACGCACACACGCACACGCCTCACCAAGGCTGATACAAACCAACAATAAACACACACTGCACTCTGCGTTTCCACTCATTCACAGCATGGACCGGAAATCAGGACATTTTCTCTGACCTTAGTGGACTCAGCTTCTCTTCGTTATGATCCTGGTGCCCCAGAGTCGATGTCCTGTTTTTGTCCATGATCTCAGGAAAGGTCCTGGATCAAATGTGTCCAAAGAAGTCCATTAAGGTCCACACAGAGAAGTGGAGGCAGGTTCTACTCCGGTAACTTGTTGCAGAGCTTAGCTGTAGCTGTCTGTGGATATTTGTTTTAACCTAACTAAACTCCAAACTTGTGGTTATTTCTATCAGCCACCTGCTTCTCTACCTAACCGGTCTGCTACAGATGAGGCCTGGAGTCCACCGTGTGTAAACATAGCCTATTGCTTTCCGGCTAAATCTGGTGTAAACAGCGGCTATTTGCCCAAAAGTGGCGATTAACGAGTCCTGTAAAATTTCGGTACCGGTAATGGTGTAATTCCAATTTAAAAAGGAACTTTGTATGCTTCAGCAAACAGTTGTGAATTTACAATAACAGTACAGCTAATCGGTCACGTTCTTCCGGTGCCTGACCAGCTCCGACAAGGGGAAAGAGTGCGCATGTGCGATTTAATAACAGGAATCAATGGAGGCCTGAGCCGGAAATACATGAACTAACAGTAAATTCAAACGCGTAAAAAAACTCTTAATTTACATTTTAACTGCAGCTTATTCACTTTACCAAGTCAGTCAAATTATTGATCACAGATGTTTTTTTTTAATTGAAACACCAATCAGATTGTACATTACTGATGACAAAAGTCCTCCTTAAAATGTTAACTGGTTTAGTGAGGTAAATGCTGGGCAATAACGATTTTTGCTGGCTTTTGTTATTGTTTTGCTGGTAAGGAAATGATTAAGTGTGTCCTGGATAACAATATTGATAAAGCAGGACAAGATACTAAAAGGCAAAAACTCCTGATAGCTAATAGACTGAAATGCTGAGTAATGCTTATGTTAGCTAGCGAAGAGTTACCCAGGATTTCCACCACACCCGAAACGACTCCGATCCGGAACAGCAGCGATCTTTGACAATTTACACCAATTCCTACCATATCCGTTTGTGAGACGAATTTAGTGGCGGATTACGGACAGTGATAATCACGAAAACTCACAAGAACCTGCAGATTCACGTGCAATCATGCAATAACGGGTTGTTTCTCAGCCACATAGGCTAACCATAAAAGCAGTCGATTGTGTCCTTCCAGAGGAGGAAATCCACCTCTAGACTTCTAAAATCAGCATCTCCTCATCCATGGTGTCATCGGGGTGAAATGCTGTTTGTCTCCGCCCATTTGCATGCTGTGAAATACAATCCTTCTTAAACACAGTGTTTTATTTTGAGAAGAAGCCGGACGTTTTATTTTGTGTCTGTGCCTGACTTCCTTCCAGCATGGGTTAATCTGTGCTGAATTTATCCGGCATGCTCCAGTGTCCGAAAAAATAGTCTTGTGTCTTGTGATCAGCTGTGGAGTCCGGCGACCCGCAGTGGAACGGAAAGAAGCCGATGACAATGGAAACATTAAGTTAAATGGTTACGATCAGCTACGATCGGTGGATATGGCCTTTTCATAGCCATTCTGGATGCCGGGGAAATTGGGAGTTAGGCTTGCCCAGAATATTTTTAATGCATTATAGATAACAGAATTTTTGATTGTGTAGAACAAATCAATATAGCAAAGAGGAAAAAAAATTATGGGCTGAAATGTTAGCTTGCAAACTGTAGCCTGAGGCTAGTTAATCTTAGCTAGCTAACAGCAATGCTCGCTAACAAATAGGAAAATTAGACAATTTAGCTGTTTTATGTCCGTATTCATGGCTCATTATTATGTTTTTTAATCCATTTTTATTTTAGCTGCTGATGACTTGAGGTGAGCATTCAGTAACAGGATGGGTAAAAATGGTTCAAATTGATGTTTATAACCTTAATGTAGAGAGTTATTGAGACAGAGAACCACTTACTGTGAACAACAGATTTTTATTTCATTAAACGGATAATCCATATTGCCAAACAAAAGAAGAGAGGATAAAAACAAACTTGTAGAAACTTTCTGTGAATTCATTATTGACAGACAGATTTCTAAGGTCCCAGATGGCTTTACCGATATCAAAACTTGATACAAACGAGCCATGTTGGAAATGTGACACAGGTCGTCAAAAAAAAAAACTTACTTCCAAAAATGGGAAGTAAAAAAAGAAAAAAAAAACTTAAAATAGTCCTAAGCTAAGTCACAGTCATAAATCCAACTGGGATAATATTGTAACATAGACTGAGGTTTTATAGGTTAGTGATACTTTTCTCTACGGTATCGGTACAATAAGCTCAAATGACATGAGTCGAAGTCGAGGGGCTTTACCCTACGTGACATATCATCAGGAAGTGGAAGGGCACTGGCAGGAGGTTCCAAAAATTAAAGTGCTGAAGAAATAAAAGCAAAAATGCCTGTTTTAGATGAATTCCTGATACTGTGTAATGATGCATTTTAAATCTGTGTATTTTGAACATCCTTTTCCTGAGCACAATAATTCTTTTTACATCCTGTGAGTTCACTTCCACTCCTGAATGGACATAATACCTGTTATAACAGGTAACGAGAGATTATGGCACAGTCATAAGATAAATGCTCAGTGACAAAATCTTTGTTCTAAGGCAAGTACAGCTAATTTTGTAAAATGCCCCCCCTCCCCAAATCCGAAATTTCTCCAGTAATGACAATCGACATTACGAAACAAAAACAAGGATTGTTGTGTCACTCCCGTGAAAGCGTGTTCAGAGTTAAAATGAGTCTTTCCTTAAAGTTAAGAGAGAGGGTCAATCGTAAAGGTAGCGAGAATCTACCAGTGCTGTGATTGTTCAGGAGTGAATAAGTGTGGGTCTGACTAGTTTACAATGCAAGTGCCTAGGCTTTTATTTTGTCATTTTTCTTTTACAAAATCCACTCCTCCCTCTGAGAACCCAAAACAAGTATATAGTCAAATTTTAGACAAACCAAACATAATTTTTGATCACCAACACTCTCAAAATATCCAAACAATATGCTTTTTTCTCAGCTTTGGCACAGTCTGCTGATAAGTGTGAATTTAGCTGGGACTGATTTTTTTTCTTTTTTCAACTTTTATCGTTATTGGCATGTTTGTCCGTCTGACTGTCTACCCTTTGAACCTGAGCTTTCCCCACTGAACCCTAATACGCTATAGATGCCTATGAATCAACGATATACTGTACATATGGACACAATCATGAGTTTTCTCTCCATATAAACAGTGCTAATACAAACACACACATTAAAACATGTCCTCTGCAAAAGTCCAAGACATTTTGGCATTTGTCTTTTTTCTTAATGGCTTCTGGCTTTCTTTTTTAAAAACTGGTGAATGTACAGCGGGCCTCGTGCTCCTGGTAGTGGAGTCCCATCGGTAAAGCCCTTGCTCGGTTTCTGCAGTACTGTGATGCTTGTATGCGGCCTCTGTGAATGGAGGCGTAGCACCGACTGTAGAGCAAAAGTTTAGTCTTTCGTTGCCCCTGTTTTCATGAGGTTGACATCTGAAGATAGTCAAACAGACCTGCTGGTGAACTGTGCAACATCCCAATCTCCTGCCACATCTCCAAGGTAGACCTGCACCATCAGCTGTGGAGTGGCAACAGGCTACTGTGTCTCTGCAGTTGCCGTGGTGAATGATTGGCTGTCTTGTGAAAAACGGGATGCTATCGTCAGTGGAATGGTGAGGGGGGCGTCTCCTCTGAGTTTGAACACAGAGGATTAAAGGAAGTGAAGGATGTTGGATGGATAGATGTATAGATGGACGTTCAGCCTGGATTTCTTCGACAGCTTGTTTTTGCCTGTCTCTGCACCTCAGGGCCCGTTCTCGTTGTAGTGGAGGGAAATCGGCCTCTCGCGCTGCACCGCCGGCATGTAGGGCCAGTTGTAGCTTGAACCCGAGAGAAGCATGTCACGAAGCAGTGTCTCGATAGGTGTCTTGCCAACCAGGCGGACGAAAAACAGCTGCTCGATGACCGGGGAGGAGACGATACGAAGGGAGGGCAAGCGGAGGAGGAGGCGCCCAAAGCGGTTTGGCTGGCTGGGGTACTGGTTCCTGACGTACTCCTCCAGGGCACACTGGGACTTCTCCTGGATGCTCTCCACATGGGCAACGTCTGACAGCCCCATGGCATCTAAAGACAAGAAGGACATACAGAGTTTAAAGGTGTATCCTCATTATCCCGTAGCTTTGTCAGCCATGTTAACATTGGTAAACTTGCTTTTTCTCGCAGATAATGTTCCAACAGATGTTAGCAAACAGCAGAAAAAACATGTTTTTTTAATGGAAGGGTCACAATCTGGGTTTTATCATGTTTTTTCATGTTGTTTTGAAGAGAATTTTGACCAGTCAACAACTTTTTTTTAGCACAAAATATGTCTTTTCCTGCATTTTGAACAATTTTTTGAAGTATTTATTGCCTCTTCTGCATCATTCTTAAATTTGACCTGGTCTTGAGTCCTGATTTCTCTTTTGAAATTTTTGTTTTTATCAAGCACATTTTCACCTCATGATAAATGCATTAATTTGAAACAGGTGAACTCTGACATTCTTGTGTTTCTGCCCTCTTTTAGTCCCATAGAACATCCAGAGCTTCAGTTTTATGCATGTATGCTACATAAAGTTCAAACGTAGTTTTTTATGATAGAACTGATTAATTAAAGCTCCTGTGAGGAACTTTTGACATATTAATTTTGGCACTCCCAGTTGACAAAGCAGTTTTTATTTCTCATCCTATACATGCTTAAGTTGTGTCCTACGGCATTAAATCTCATCACTCTGACTTTTGACACTCAAATCTATTATTAATTGTGAACACTTTATATGGAAAACCTAAGATCAGGCTGTTTCGGGCTTGCACTCCTGCACAATTTTCAGGCATTAAAAGTTATGATTAAAAAATAGTCATTTTTGTTGCTGACAGTTTTGTTTACTTTTGTTTATCATAGAAAAGCATTGGTACAACTTTCAGTCTAATTTCATACGCAGTTGAGAGATTATTAGCACCTGCTATAAACACTGTGATACTTGCATTTAATAGCCGTTTTTAGTCTGTGTACGCATATTATATATGTCTCTGTTAAATAAACTAAAATAAATAGATTCTAATGTTTAAATTGTTGCTGTGTAAGGTTAAAATGACAGCACCTTGGCCTATTCAGCTCCTTGATGAAGCTGCAGAGGACAGAAGTATGACAGATGATTGCTCGGTGCAGCACAAAGATAAACATCTATCAGGAATTTCACTTTGTCAGACTCGTCAAAGAGGAATTTGAGCAGCTTTATCATCTGCAGGTCAACTTTAAAATGGTTATTGTGCAGAACTGCTTTAACGTCCATGGTACTGAGTCAGATTTAGTCAAAAGAGTGAGTCCGATTAATTCCTCAAATGTGATTGAAAACAGTTGTAACTTAAAAACTATTTCAGTTGTTGTATTGGTTAAAACTTGACTGCAGTAGGATAACTCTGTGTTTGTGCGTCTGTACATGCAGTTGAGTGGTGATGAGCCAATAACTTAAACCCCCTATAGTCAGAGCCTGCAGGTGGATGCCGTTGTGGTGGTGGGGCTGAAAGTTTGAGCACAGCTCTGGTGCAGGGTAGCAGCGGCATTAGCAAAGGAGGAGCAGAGACCGGAAATCCTGCAGCTTAGACAGAGCGCCTAATTGAAAGGATAAGTTTGTCAGGTGATTGTGAGAATGACGCACAGCAAATGCGAAATTAGTGCAGCTTGAATTAGCCTGAATTAGCTCACAGTCGAGTTCCTCTTCACGACCCTAAGAGGAGATTTTTTTTTTTTTTACACAAGTCTATGAAAGCTGCCCAACCAACTATATCTTTAAAAATGTTAAATGAGAAATGTCAGAGCAAGAAGTATGAGGAAGATTAAGAAATTTTAAAAAAATGAAGTTTTGATATGAGGTATCTTTAAACTTCAACATTCTTAACAACAGCCATGTCAGATATTAGAAAGCCTGGACTAGTTTACAGTCGTTGACATACAGCATAGATGTGAAAAAGTGATCAGGAAAGGATGCCAACTCCTGTGACCTCTTAATCCAACAAGTTAGAGTTAGAGAGTTCATGTTAAAGAGCCAAGAAAAAATCTGATGATTTTACTTTCTTATTAAGCTTTGCAGGACATCTGAGGTAATAGATTATATTTCCCTTTTTGTTTTTGGTTATCTGGTAAATATGGTGAGTTTTTTGGAATAACGAGACTCAGCCTGAGCATATATCTAAATTAAAACTAAAGTATATTTTATAGACTCAAAGTAGGCAGCTCAACACATTTTTATGTGATTGGCTGCATTTTAGACATAGGCGTGAAACTAGAACAGAGGAAGTCAACAATACGGCAAACCTACACACCCATCTGAGCTGACACTACATCAAGCTTTAACAACCTGTGGATAAAGCTGAACCTGAACATCACCAACAAATAACTGAACCTGCAGTGATCTCTTTCTGTAAAGACCTACATCCCTTCAGTGTCGTCTAGAGTGAGGGCTTTGTGAAGATGGTGCAGTGGAACCACACCACGTTAAACCAGCATGAAGAAACATGACAGAAGTCACTGACATATGAGACAAAGGAAGGTCACTTTGACAACAGAGATACCAGCAGGAACTGTAATGAATATCTGGGTATTTTTGTCATTGGTATTGGATCATGACCCAAAGAATCCAAACTGTTGTGAACCCTCAGCCCAAACTTTAGGATGCTTTCAGATGTTTTCCTTAATCTGAGCAGAAACGTCGCCTGATTTAAGAGATTCGTGGTTGTCACTGCTGAGCTGCATATCTGCTCCACCCCATGGTCTGTGTTCACAGCACACAACGGCGTTCCCTTTCCCAGCAGCTGGAGGTCTGCTCTGTCTTTGGCTTCATCCTGCTGCCACCCCTCCTCCCCACCCCCACCCCTCCACACACCTTGGCAAGAGTCTCGCACAGCCGAGAGAGCGTGTAACAGGGCGCGCGGTACTTTTCACACCCTCAGTGTGCAGGGGAGAGCACGGGGGATTTAGCAAAGGAGGTCAGAGATGTGTGAACTCAAAACAAAGAAACACTTTACCGTACTGTGCCGCGCACTGTACATTCACGGGGAGGGCTCTCACACTCTGCCCCCTGTGTGAACCCTCATTTAGAAGAAAGGTTTTGATGAGGGCAATTTCTCCTGCAGCACGCTCTTTCAGGGTAAAAGCGCAGGCCGGTAGGTTTTAACCTGTCACCTTGCCTTGTAGGTCTCCTTTGTCATCTCCCACTCTGATCTGTCCCCTGTGTAAACCCTGTCCTGCTGAGCCTCAGTCCTGCACCACCAAAAATTAATTCACCTCATATTTTTAATCGAGTGTGTCAACCCCTCCCCAGCCCGGGCCGCCACTGTTCTCATCATTCTAAGTGAATAATTGCTCCGGCTTCAGCTGCACTTCCCTCCACTCAGGGGGCAGATGGACTGCTTTTTTGTCGGGGCCGCCATTTTGGGTCCTGCGTGACAAGGCAGTCAGTGCCTGTTTGGGATTAGTGAAGCTGTCTATGTGACTGAAACCACTTCGCGTGCCGAAGCGACAGCTCTGTGGGCGCCCTTCCACGCCAAGCGCCGTGTTCTTTTGTCTGATCCCTGGGCACACACCGGGTCAGTTGGGGTGAGGGATCAGGGTGGCAGGGCTGTGATGCCCGTCCTCTGATGCAGCGTGATGGGACTGGGCTTCACAAGGGGAGAGGAGGGAGGGGACTCAGAGGGAGGCTGGGGACGATTGGTGATTGTCCGAGCTTGTTAGCTCATCCTACCAGGTCTGCAGGAGTCAGGTTTATTAATCTATGCAGTGTGTGCGTGTGTGCATGTCCTCCTTCATTACATTCAAGTTTTTAATATCTGCACGTTTCACTAACTGTATTGTCTTCTGCTGGTGAGACGTGCAGATTTTGCGCCTGTACATGTGGGTACATCTGCCCGCATACAGGCAAGTCACATGGGATGCTCAAGGCTACAGGGGTTATGTAGGTCATGGCCGAGGCTGTAGCGAATCCTGCATCTCACTGGAACCCCACCATACATAATTCAACTCCCGCGGTGGGGGCAGGGGTCCCGGGCCCGGGCAAGGCTCGAGGTTGAGTTTGGGGAGCGAGGAGGAGGAGGAGGGGTGGATGACTGGTTTCAATAATAGATGGGATCATGAAGGAGAGATGGCTGATGAAAGCCAGGGAGAGAGGGGAGAGGTGGATCCACAGCCACATACATTCAAGGAGGAGCGGCGCTAGGTGCACGTCGAGTGAATCTGACAAGCCGTGCGAGGGAGAAAAGAGGGGAATGCGATAAAAAACAAGGACAAGGGACATCTCAGTGTTGGCTTCTTCACAATCCGTTTCCCCCAGGGTCACAAAGCATGATCTCCAAGTGAAGTATCCCACAAGTGACAGTATTTTGGCTGGCACTGGAGTCCAGTGACTGCTGGGATAAACCTCAACGGGGTCTGTATGAAAGCAGTATCAAAACAAAGCCTCTCATGGGTTTTCCAGGATGTAAAACAGTCATATTTGGAATTGTTGTGTCTGCAGTCAGTGAGAGGAGCGCTGTTGAACAAGGTGAGGGCAGAGGCTCAAGAGATTTAGATACTGGCGGTCAAAAAATAGGAAAGGATGAAAGAGCGAAGGCATTTTCTTCGTCTTTAAGTCCATTCGAAGATATTAACTGAAGTAAAAGGACAGGGTTGAGAAATGACCACGATACTATAACAATAAGGCAATAAATGTCAGAGAGGTTGAGGCATACTGTCTTTTAAAAACAGATTGAAAAGATGAAAAATAAAGGTTTAATAAAATAAACTTTCAAATTCCTCTTGAAAAATAGTATCTTCAAACCCAATGAAATTCTCAGAGGACACAGACTCTGACCGACCGCAGCTCCAGCATTTACATATTGAGGCAGCGAGACAATATCTGCAGCGACGTTCCAGGTCACGTCTCGGTCAGGCTGGGCGGAGGTGAAAAGGTTGTGGGTTAAGTACAGTTGAAGTCTGCTTCATTTGTCTTTGAGATCAAACTGGATTCCCAGGAAGGAGAGGGAAAAATGTCTCATGGCGTTAAGACCCTCTGAGAAACTCTGTCTGTGGTTAAATCAGTCATGAAAAGGAATTTGCAGCTTTTATTGGTTACTTGTTCGACCTCTTGGCTTCGTATCAGTGGGCTTATTTAGATTACTCAGGCACTGATGAGTACAAATACTGGTTTTGTTTTTGTGTTAAACTGAAAATGAAGTTAAATATGGAGTAAAGACATTAATTTACCATTTCTGTCTCTACAAACCAATATACTTTCGCTGCTAATATCTCAGGGTTAGACAGATGTAACAATCCTGTATATATAAACTGTATATTTTAAAGCTCCTGTTAGGAGTTTTTAGCCTGTAAAGAAACAGACTGAAATTAACGCTGATGTGTCTTTGTGGCCTGCAAAAACAAATAATACCCTAAGTTTGAATTTTGATCATTTCTATATTTCTATCGTAAGTGTTTGGTCCCGCCTCTGTCTGAGCAAAAAAGCCAATCATAGTTTGGAAGTAAGATTTGAGTGGCTAAAAGATAATGCTATTTTGTAGTATTATTACACAATACAGGAGGAATGTGTACAATAAAAACATATTAAATGTTTTTTAGTGTTAGCTGTATTGTTCATGTCGGGGTTGACCAGTTTCCCTCAATCAGAAGTTTTTTTTCAGCTGCCTATTTATTGATTAGCTGTGATATGTCGTTAACTAATGTCAAGTATTTATCATTTATTCAATATCTGCCTGAGATAGACAAAGTTAAACATGACTGAAAGAGTATTTTGGCTTTTAATCTCAAATAGAAATGCCTGCTGTGAGATGACCTATGATTATTCCTGTCGTTAAGACAGTTCTGCATGTCCACCATGTCTGTTATTGATATTTGTATCTGATTTGATTAGGCATTATGGATTTCCTGTATTCTAAATTTGCATCCGAGCTTCCAACAATGATCCCTGTTTGAGCCGATGATGTTTAATAAATGGAAAAGCAACAAATCTAAAGGTACTGTTTACTTTTTAATGGAAAGTTTGAGATGTTTTTGTATTACATGTGCGTCTGTGTTCACCTTGGCTATGAGTAGCAGCAGGATAACCCTCCTGATGACTATCTCTCTAACTAATGTTAATCTGTTTACATGTGCTTTGATACCCTGCGATTAAGTCTTCCTGTACACACAAATAAACCAATTACCTGAATGTTCCCTGTGCCAACGGAAGCAAGATCAGCTGCAGGCTAATTCCTCTTTTCTTTTCTACCTGAGCAGCGGTTAAGTTACTCACAGGAGAGAGGTTATGTTTATGTTGACATGAGATTCCACTCATGATACCGACAAGTCTGAGCTCCGATTAAAGAGGAAAGATGCAGCGAAAGAAGAAGTGAAAATTTGTGTCTTAAAAATGTGTTTTTTTCTTCTAAACACAGACTCCCTGATTTAATCTCAGAAGGTCACTGATAATTGGTCTTTGGGGAGGGATTGACCTTGAAGAGTTTACTTTGCTGTTCAAGTCTTATTTGTTATCAATACAGGCCGCATTTATTGTGTTTTAAACCTGATAATTCTCTTTTTATAGCTTCTTCAGTTTTCCTAATAAGTGAGGAATTGACCGTTGTTATTGTAGGACTCTTTCTTGTATGAGCGTATTGTAATTATGTGAAATTAAGTGTGTTGTGCTTCGGTCTATAAATGTGTCAATCTGTAAGAAACACAAATGTTTTAAAAGTGAGGCCACTGTGACTCAACAGGGAAATGTTCTACAAATAGTTTGAGCTCTTAAATAGTTCGCTGGCTTGTGTTAAAACAATACAAATGGAGGAGTGAATAGGCTTGTAGAAAAACAAGGAGAAATTATGCAATGGATTTAACATTTGTGGGTCATGAACTTTTAATCCTTCTTGAGATTTTTACTCCATCCAGTGTGTTCTGTTACAATAACAGGACCCCGCTGACATTTCAGAGACTTCAGCTCTCTGTGCGTTATTTGTGCTTCATTTAAACTCACCAGAAGTGAAGAGCACGATGGACTTGAGGCAGGAGTACTCAGCCGTGTCCACCTGCAGCGCTTTCAGTTTCTCCACCTGCTCCTGGAAGACCCGGATGTGGTCCATGAAGGCCACCACCCGCTCTGCGGACATCGGGGACGCGTGCAGGCCTGCTGCTGCCAACAGAGGGGCCACGTGGAGAGGCATGGAGCACTGGGCGGCGTTCAAGACGAAGAGTTCGCTCCATGACATGCGCAACAGCGCCACCTAGAACACAAGTAAATCAGCACGGGAAATTATCACCACATGTCTCTTTGAGGTTTAAACAGAGGTGACAGATGCACAGAGAGGGGACTGATTCAAAACACTAAACCTCTTCAAACTTATCTGTTTAAGATATAGTTTTAATGTGATGAATATTTGAGAGGTACATAGGAAGCGCTGATCCAATATTTGGATTGGATATCGGCTCCGATATTGACAAATTTACTGGATCAGATATCTGATGAATGACGCCGATCCAGCGTTCCAATCCAGTCTTTTTTATCTTTTAATTAATACGGTACACAGAAACACAGAGATTCTGTTCGCTCTATAGTCAATGTCTGTCTGTCCTTTTGCACTAAATGTTTACATGAAAGTCTTCCTTCTTTTTGCTCTGTGCTAATGTGCAATTTGTTATTTGTTATTTGTTAATAATATTAAGTAAATTATATCTATGCTAATTTGTTACCCTTTTTTAAACTAGGCAACAGTTCATTCATTCAACAGCAGTGTTGGATCGGATATCGGCCGATACACTCAGCCCAGGTAACAGTATCGGATTGGATTGGAAAAAAATGGATTGGTGCATCTCTAGAAGAACACATACTGTTTCTCAAACAGAAGACATGAGGCTGAGTTAAATCCAGCCATTAAACCATGTGTTTTGCGTAGAAGGGCTTTGGTTTGGGAGTCTAGAAGTCTTCCTCTTCCTAGTTTCCTACACTATTCACTCTGTCCTATCTTCCTCAAAAAAAGCCTAAAAGCCCCAAATATTTTACAGGAGTTGTGCTTCTAACAAAATACACAAAGTAAAAAGCAATAAATGCAGGCTTGGTTTATTTTCTTTCCTCATATTTGGGACTACCAGGAGTCAAACTGTACTGCTGTTTAGAGAGGATGTACTGTAGGTTATGTGTAGAAATCGAGTTATAAATGCTGATGATGTGCAAAAAAACTAATTGTGTATCTTATTTTTTGGAATATAGGTCTATAATTCATAATGACGCGTTCATTATTTGAAGCCTCTGTGACAAACTTTTGGGTTGCTTTGATTTTGGCGCCCCATGTGGACGAATCAGAGCCTTTTTCCATTTTGCTGAAGTTTAATCCGTGTCCTCCATTTATTTCTTTTCCTTATACTTTTCACTAAATAAATCAATCATTCTGCTCATGCTGCTTTTGCATTTGTTGGTCATAAAGAGGCACCGGTATTAGTTTCAGTCTGTTTTATTGCCAGTTAAACGCTCCTCACTGGAGCTTTAAATCATATTTCTGCTGTTAGATTTACATGTGGGTAATTCCAAGGCTCTGCTCCAAGCTTGTGTTAACATGATGCCTTTTGACAGCGGGTTAAAAAGATTCATATAACACACCAGAACTGTCCATAAAGAAAGTTAAACACGAACAGAGCAATGTGAGGCCCCCTGGATACTCACAGGACAGATCAAGTCTACATGTTGACATGACCTTAATGATATATTAATGATATGGTGCAACTATAGCATGACACATTTGTGATCACTATGTCTACCCAAGGTGCATGTGAATATTTATAGGTCAGGCTGTCACTCTGTGCCAAGACTTTACAGCTGGTATAAATCTACACGTGCAGGATTGATGTCAAGTCTATTCATATTAAATGTCATGAGTGGGTCCCTGTTTGTGCCTTCACTGAAAAATAACACAAGCGATTTCTTCTGTTTGTGTGGCTGCAAAGTAGGTGACGATCAACAAAGAGGGAAAAGACAAAAGTTAAAAGAGATAAAAGTGTGACGGTCTTGATTATTTAAAGGCTCGAGTCTCGTGTTTTAGGGGCAAGCAGAGGCTAAGACGTCAGAGCAGAGCTGTTTATCAATCATGCATTAAGAGGTTAGAGTTTGGCGCTCTTGGTTTTGATCAGAATGTGTTTCTATGATATAAAATATTTCTGTAATCTTTCAAACATGCTTCAAATTTAAGTTTAAGTTATCAAGAGGAGGAATAACTTCCCCGCTGAAAAACAGTCCTGCATGTACACAATAATCAGTTAGACAAGATTTGCTACCTGTATTCTAGTTTTGTTTTCCTAAGTGGCAACCTCCACTGTTTAGAAATGAAGCCGGTCTATATGTGCTCTATAAACTGCAGTTCCTTAAATGGCCACTTGGGGTCGGCTCCAAAGCTCAGGAGCCTCCATTGACACTAATGTTGAAATATTGACAGCAGAATACATGTTTACAGCCTGGTACAAAAGCAGTTTTGGTCTGGTTGGTCTATTTCTTTATTCTTACACAGTAAACAGGGAGCAGACTGTTTTATACCTTATTTGTTTCATTGATATCAAGGTTGTTAGTCTGGCATAATTAGGGGTAGTTGACTTGACTGACAGGTGTGCACACTGTAGAAGACTTAAGACCCTCTACAACTCTGCTTTTGGCCTTTTCAGGTTAACAGGTAGATATTCACAAATCAGAAGTTGATGTCACTTTAACTTTGTCTTTGTTTTTTTCTTATTTTCAGTCGTTGGGCTGCATTAAAGCTCCTGTGAAGAGTTTTTTGACCTTAATAAAAAAAACTAAAATTCCTAATGATGCCTTTTATGGTATTCAAAAATAAACAAGACCATGAGCAATGAGATTACTACAATTTCACAACGTCCACATATTATACTTTCAGTTAATGATGCATTTAACTCTCAAAAGTCAGCAAGATGAGTTTTTTTTCCAGATGATTCTACTCAATCATGTAGAAGACACAATAAGTAGGGATTGCTTTGTCCACAGGGGGCGCTAAAACTGACATAAAACAAGAGTTCCCCACAGGAGCTTTAAGATGCTGTTGCTTCTTGATCATCTACATTTCTGCAGAAAATAGACAGTTGTCCTGCTTGGTGAACTCCCAGTTACAAAGCAGTACGTATATATCTCCAGCTGTCAAACTTTCTGATATTCAAGTGTAAATCTTAATCAGTCATAATCAGAGAGTCTAACTCACCTGATCCATGAGCTGCAGATCGGGAAAGAAGGGGATGTTCTTCGCCCACTCCACAGCGCTGAACAGCAGCCTCGCCGCCAGCTCGCAGATGTTCTCGATGCCCATCAGGTTATTTCCCTGCATGCACTGGGCCCCATAGCGGGAAGTGGGGTAGGGCTCTGCACGCAGCAACAGAGAGATGAAGCCGGACAGGTAGGGCTGGCCGTTGTATGGATCTGTGCCGTTGGTCAGATACTGTCCCGGGCTGCTCTGAGAGTTTGATGTACGTCCTCGTTGTACAGCTGAAAAAGAAAAAGACAAAATATAAATAAGAGTAAAAAAAATCACATCTTCTAATCTGGGATTATACAACATATTTCCACTGTTTCCTTTTTTGTTGTCTTTGCGTGTTTCTTAATCTCAGTCCAGCTGATACTTTTAAGAGGTAAACACCACTGTCAGGCTGTTGTGGTACTTTTAGGATTTAGGAGGATTTGGAAACAACTGAACCTGGTCTTCATCCAAAAGCAAGCGTGTAAAGGGAACAAGTGAGTCCTAAAAGCCTGCAGCAGAAAAACCAAGCCGGGAGAGGAGATGCAGACGGAAAAGAAAGAGTGAAATTGGGCATGTCAAATGCATCGGGTGGGGGAGCTTTGCAGAATGGGGTCAAAGGGGGCGAAAAGTGTGGAGACGGGAACATTTCTCTGACTCTTAAATATGTCAGCGCTCCTCTTTTCAGGGGAGCGGGTGGAAAGTGGCCGGGCCAAGGCCATCCTGCACTGCTGTTGTGCATCAATGAGTAATGACAAGCAGCAGCTGGTAAAGATATAACACCTCTTCACACCTACATATGTTATGCACACACCACACATGAATACATACAGTTACATCTCACCCCTCCCTCTCTCCCCGTGCTGGCAAATGGCTCAGCCTGAGGCGAAAAGGGCACGCAGAGGCCAAGCTCTCGTACACACACACACACATACAAATGCCCGCCCCCCCCAACCCCCCCTGTGGAGCGATGATGATGCGGCGAGCGCTCAAAGGCCCATTTGGAAAACACCTGTTCAGTCATCCCCACTGTCTGACTAATAACTCCATCTACTGTTACACAGAGAGAGAGGAGGGAGAGAGAGAGAGAGAAAGAGAGGCAATGAAAATGCAAAGAGGCCACGTGTGCGGGGAAAAATGAGGTAGAAGGGTGAAACGGTGAGATAAGCCGGGGAAGGAGAGAGAGTGAGAGGTGATAAGTTGAATGAAGAGAGATTGAAGGCGAGGGGAAGAGAAGGTGCAGAGTTCAATATGTTTGAATGTGGCCCGAGATGAAGCTGCAGATAGAGAGCAGAGGTTTACATAAAGAGACAGGTGGAGGCAGGAGGGGTGAGAGAGAGAGAGAGACACAGGAGGAGGGAGGGAGGGAGGGTTTGGAAAAATGCTTTTCAACTCTGCATCACCTGTCACCTCACACGCAGCAGCTGTGTCAATCCGGCGCAGCGTGGCACGTCTGAAAAACGAGAGGTCAAATCACTCAGGAGCGTTATAAAAATGCCTTTAATTCTCGCCCGTCCTCTGAGCTGAAAAAATACCTCCTCACAAAAGGTGTTGACCTCAAACTACTACATTTTCTCTGTGAACTTGTGTCAACCCGCGTTCCCCGGAGAAGAATGCGCTCTCCTTCGGCAAACACCGCGGCCTACCAGGAGGTGTTACATGACACAAAGACGACGTTGCACAATGGGACATTCCTCGTCTCTCACACTCCAGAGGCACTCGACTTGCTTTGCGAAAGGACGGCTGTCAGATTGAGCACACGTGTATCTCTGCAGGGTTTGAAAACCAGAGAAAATAAAACAAGACTCAGAGCAGCGGGGTGGAGATATTCTTGGAAATACTGGAGCGCTGGAGCGATTTCCACAAAGATTACCTGGTCAAACATGTCTTCAGTCACTCTGAGGCTGTCGCTGTCAGTCAGAGGAGGAATTAAAACGGGGATTGGAGAAAGACTCCAACGATTCACACCTAAGATCTCCAATCTTAATCATCACAATGGAGGCAAGCACGGACAGAGCAGCTCTGAGCTCAGAAAGACGATAATGTTTGTTAGAGTTCAGGCTCTGGAAATACAGATTTGTTGTATTATTGTCCTTTAACTGTAGTACACTGACAATAAAAGCTTTTATATCTCTGCCAAATGCCTACAAAGGCATTAGCAATCTGTGCGATCTTATCCTCTTCTTTCTTATGTATTAATCAGATAACCTTATTCTTCTGGTGACGAATGGTTCCTACAGAAAGCTGAATATTTACACTCCTGTTATCACTACGGTTTGTAACGGTGGCTCTCTGATCCACTCTTAAAGGTTGTATCAGAGGACTAATGGAGGAAGATGGTGGCATTGTGAAGCATCGGAGCCAACAGGGTGAAACAGTCGTGTGTGTGCCTGTATGGTGCCTCTGCTGAGGTTGGCAAACTTAACCCTTGTTGAAATAAAAAGGGCCCATTTTAAAGTGAAAGTGCTCCCTTTTGCATTAAAGAAAATCTGTGTTCATATGCTAACCTTGTACTAAGCCCGGGAGGTGACATTAACTTTTTTTTTTTTTTAAATTCACATGTGTAATTTAGTATCCCACACGTGCCTTTTATTATACTGCAGGTGCGATTTAACCGTTCGTTAATAAACAAAATCACTTCCTGCAAATCCGAATATTGCCGATGGCAAAGCCACTGTGCTTTAAGGATCTTGATGAGGTTTCTCCTACTTAAAACAATATTAAATGTGGCTAAGCTATAAAGTATCTCTTTGTGAGTCATACCGAAATGAAAGAAAACGTTGATAATATGTTCTCTGTCCATGACGCTGTACTTCTTCTCTCACAAATGAGGCGCGCGAAGGATTATTTACAAAACTGCATGGGCAAGATACAAATTGCAGCTGCAAATTAAAATAAATAAATGTTTATGTCACCTCTGGGGCTCCATTTGTGCAAAAACAATGATGCAAAAAAAGAAGTGAAAATGCTTGAGCATGCGTGCCAGGCCAGTGCCTCCTCCATGTTGACAGATGGGACATGCGTCTTACTTTAAAATCAAAAAAAGAAATTAAGTTGAACCTCTGTCAGGCCTTCAAGTTCTTTTTATGCTAAATTTTGTTAAAAAGTAAAGTTTCTGTGAGGAACTTTTGGCGCCCCCCGTGAACACAACAGTCTTAACTTAGTTTGTGTGGTGCCCTCTGACAAGTCATCTCAACCTGATGATGCTTGAATATCAAATGTGTTGTTTACTGTATGTATTTCAAGTAGGAATCATAAACAGACTTTTTTAGCGTTTGGCTGACACCTACCCCCTCACTCAGATTTATGACATTAAAAATCACAATATAAAAATTGTTAATCTTGTTGCTAATGGTCTTGTTTGCTTATGTACATCATATAAAGACAGCAAAATGTATTTTAGTTTATTTCATTAACATCCTAAACAATCTTGACAGGAGCTTTAAGGTTTTAACTCTTCAAAGTATTTTGGTTTTATTTTGTTTTTTAAGCTGAAAATGATGTTTTAATCTGTGACTGACAACTAAATGGACGAATGTATGCTCAGTCACGAAACTTTCCAGAACTGTGAGCCCTGTTGGACTGACACAAGCAGCTCTTATTCCTGATCTGAGGGATGTTTGTCATTTTATATGTAAATGAAATGAGTTCTTTGGCCTGTAACAGCAGTGAGACGTCAATACTGCTGGGGGTGCTCTGGATTTGCTTTAGCACAACGGGGGGAGGCTGAGACTCTGTCCTTTTTGTCTCGACTGTACAGTCAACGGGAGGATCCCCTCAGCTCTCTGCCAATCTTGTTACTCCATGATAACATCACATGACTTCCTGCAAAGCTCACAACAGTGCGGCATAGCTTTGCTGTCTACTGGAGAGCTCTGTCGCCTGAGTGTGAGCATATGTTGTTTCTAGGGCACATATGAAAGATTCTGTTTCTCCTCAGGAAGACGTTCTTCTCTCTGACTGTCCATATTTAAGACAGAGCACTTTCTCAACCTTAAAATGTCAGCCTGCTTTTGTTTTTAGAGTCCTCCACCAACAAATTAAAATCTACTTTACAGGAGTGGCCACTATGGCTGCTTCTTGTTTTGAGGGTCCCACTGAAACCGCGCTGACTCTTATTTTAATCGTGTTTTATTGTCCAATTAAGCAAAAGCAGCCTGTCGAGACTCTGCTGCTTCTCAAGTGCCTGAGTCGTGAATTCACAGCTATTAATCTGCTCTCATATTGATCAGTGGTTAATCCTGCGGATGGCTGCGAATCTACTTGATCCACTTGACTTTTCAAAAGCCTCATTGTGAGGGTCACTCATGGCTGAGAGGCACGGCACTCAAGCGCTTCAGACGCAGACACATCACTGTCTGTTTTTCCTCGCCTACAGCTGGATGACGAGCCAGACGAGCAAAAAAAAAAAATAGACTGTGGTGGTAGTGGAAAGGTCCAAAGGAATAAATAAAGAGGAGGAAAGACATTTGTAGAGACAGAGAGATGTCGCGTCGTGACACAGAGGAGGGCAGCGACAGAGTGGGAGAGACAGAAATGACATTAGAGAGAAACAGATGCCCGCGGATAAAGAAAAGGGAAACCAGGGTCAGGGAGAATAAAGGGGGGGTGGGGTATAAAGTCCAATTTGGGCGTCTGCCATAAGCCGATTCCTGCATTTTAATTGCACCATAGCTGAGTTTAATGTGATTGACTTAAGAAGAAAAAAGATATTTGTAAACTTAATCAAACTTATTCTTCTATCCAGGCAAACAAAATTATTCCAATACAAAGTCGAGAGCACTTACAAAGATGACGGAAGAAATCCCTAAAACCCAGAGCAAAACAGCATGGCGTGTAGGTAAGGGCAGGCGAAGGAGGCAGAGGAGGAAAAGTGCACGCAAACACAAGGCACCATGGGACATTTCAGCTGCGACTTTCAAAATGCCACTTCAGCAAATGGCAGCTGGCGGAGTGCACAGTTCGCTGCCTGGCTGCCCTGGATTAGCCTCTGGGTCAGACTGTTAGTGGAATTACAGCAGCTAAATACAATTAAGGCCTATCAACATTTGGACTTAAAGGTCACCGTGCCGGGGCAACACAGAGGCATTAAAGATTTGGCTCAGGCCAGCAGTTGCGTTTAATAAGTAGCTTTTCCATTTCTAAAGCTTCTAGAAAATAAACATGTTACCCTGCATAACCCTGAGTATATGTGTGTGTGAGTGTGTGTGTGAGTGTGTGGGTTTGTTTGTGCGCCCCAGTGTGTGCTAAAGAGGTTTACGACATTACAATATTCTGCAACGCTGCCATCAAACAGAAATATCTGAAAACATGCTTTCAAAGCTGCAAAAATAGGATTTGGAGGTTAAAGAGAGATGTAATTTTAAACCCTTCAGTGTGTGTGTGTGTGTGTGTGTGTGTGTGTGCCTCTACAACATCTGTGTGTGTGTGTGTGCATGGGTGTGATCCAGATCAGAGGGCAGCGTGTGATGTGACACCGAGGCCCCCGCGGCCCTCCTGGTTTTATTTTGGCCCTGAACTTTGACCCGCAGGTCAGCGCTCTGCAGCAGGGAGGGAGTGAGATAGGAGCAGATAGGAGCTAATGTGTAAACCACGCCGGAGAGAGTGGAGAGATAAAGAGAGAGAGGGGGACAAAGAGGGCGATGCTGGACAGAGAGAAGTAAGGGGAGTATTATCATGTGGACACCTGGTGACAGCCAAAGTGCTGACTCATGATTTTCACTCAGAAATGACCCTCCGTAACGCTCACAGGCTCTTTTATGGAGCCTTTTATGATTTATTGTTGATTTTTGCATTAATGTCACAATGAGTTTTACTTTTGAAGAGGACATTACCGACAAAGTTTTCTATCAGGGGTGTCCTGATACATCTCTTTTATTTCCAATATGACATCCATACAGATATGGATCTGATGTCGGTACAAACTCGTGTGTGACAAGTTTTTCACTCAGCTGCAACATCTTTTTCGGATTTTAACGAAAAATACTTCCACACAGCCGACATCACTGCTACTCCTTGCTACTTAGTTAGTACTTTAGTACACACTGTTGTTGTGATCACGTGGGTTCTACATGCTGGAACTGGCACTGCTAGATAGAAGTGCTGGAGCGGAGTCTGGAATGGACTGCTGATATCAGAGATTTTAGATACAGGCCAATATCATCTGATATTTGTTTTTTGGCTGATATCAGACCGATATCTTATATCCGATATCAATATTGTATCAGGACATCTCTATTTTCTATATCTGTTTTGTTTGAGAAAGCATTCTACTTCGGGAGGCGAGTTATCTGCAAACTCCTGGAGCAGCAATTGAACTCACACGGCCAAGATATCCACCCTGACTCTGTCCAGACTTCCTCTTTCAAAGCCTCTGAGCACAATTTCTGCATGAAGTCGAGGTGCATCAGTGTGAGAAAGCAAACCTAGACTTGTATGATTTAGGAACACAACAGGATGAACAAAAACATCCAAAGTAGAAGAAGGAGATTTGTTTTAGAAAGGCTCTCATAATGTAGGTCTCCACTATCATGATGCAGCGTTAATGATCTCATATTAGACTTTAAACTGTCTAGAAATGTTTGGGAGACGAAAATGTAAAAAAGGCTCTTTGTTAAGGTGACCTCGCAGAGAAACTGTGCAGCTGTGACGTAAATGAAAGTCCTGAGACTTCAAGAAACATTAGCAGTCTCAGCTAAAAACCAGTACAACACTATGACCTGCTGTTTTCTCCACAACCGCACAGGCATTCATAAAAATAGACCACCAAAAGAAGACCCTTTGCCCCACTTGTGTGTCGAACATGAAGGAGCAGAGGTATGCAGCCAACGTGACAGACACAACAGAACCAGAGTGCAGAAGAACCGGAGGCAGTGCAGGAGCGGGCGGGAGAGTCGTGACACAGACTGAGAGAGACAGAGACATGGAGGGCAGAGGAGCTTTGCGTGAGGAACTTTGCAAGCTCTGCTGTGTGGAAGCCGTGTTGCCTCAGTCTCTCTCTCTCTCTCTGTCTTTCTCTCTCTTTCTCTCTCAGACTTTGATGAGGCAGTTCCTGCATTAATTAGTAAACTAAATTCAGCCGGCACTCAGCAACTCTGATTCACGCTATCCTTATTTACACTTACACAGCCCCTCCTCCCACTCCAGCTTTTTCTTTTCCACACAGCGGGGCACATCGGGACAAAGTGCGTCTTTTCTCTGAGTTCAGACATTTATGTGTCAGGCTGTGCATGCATGTCGTATCTCAAACCAGCGATTATTGTTTTGATCACACAGTTAAATATGGCTGAGGCTTGATTAATGTAAGTGGATGGCAAACTGTTTAAGTGCCTTTAGCTACCAAATATTATGACATTGAAATAATAAAAAAAACACTCAAAGGGCCAGTTCACCCAAAACACATACACCCACATTTCCCTTGTGAGATGAAGCCATGCATAAAGTTTTGTTGGGAAGACTCTTTCGTCTAAGAAAGCCTCTCCAGCTCACACTACAATGAGAGTGGATTCATATTTTTAACATTTAATACTCAAATTATAATCCTATTTTCATTCTTTGCCATTACCAATCCTTACAAAAAGAAACTAATTTGGTGTTCATACAAAAAGCAACCCTGTATATATTTGTAGGTAATACTTTCTGACAGAAAAACACTGTATCCTCCAATCTTTCACCACTCAAACCTATCAGAACATGTTAGTATTTGAAGAGTAACTGCAGAGGGCTGTATCTCATACTGTCTGATTCCTTCCCAACAGCAGTATATAAGACTAAAAATGACAATTTAGGAATTATCAGGTGGTTGCTTTTCTTTCTCGCCCATATAGAATCATCATTAAAAAAAAATCTTATCCGTGTCATGACCGGCCTCAAATTCTTCAGAATAGCTCTAAAGTCATGTATAAAAATGCACACGTAACCCAAAACCTGCCCACTCTTTTTGAGTGTTTTTTAAGTCTTCCTTGTTCATTCACATTATTCGAGACACTCAAACGACTTCCCTCGGTCTGTTCACAGTGTAATACAGAGGATCATCTCTTTGGATCAGTCCACCTGTATCTTTATGTTTACTGTATCTTTACTTTAAAGCTCCAGTAAGGAACTTTAGGTTTGTCTTTTTGGTGCTTCAATCTTTCTCTGTATCATGTTAAAGCTTTTATTACCCTTTGTCTTTTTTTTGTAGAATGTGCAAATAAACTAGACTTAACTAAGAACCAAAAACAAATCAAAAATCGACTCACAGACCCTGACTTTACAGGCCTTTATACTCTGTATTTTTATGAGTGTTTGTATTGGGTGTTAAATTCTGAGAAAGACAGGTGTGTCTGCATGACTGGAAAAAAAGGGGGGGTTGAGCGGAGAGACACTCGCCTTTGATAATGTGATAAAAAATAGAGGTGAAAAGATGTCATGAATTTCCATTAAAGCTCCTGTGGCGACTTTTTTAGCACACTATGAAACAAACTGGAATCAAGATCGAGTGTTTGACTGGATAATGTCAGATCTGCCGTAACAAGGATTCACTCGAAGAGACATGTTTGGAAACACTCCTTTGATGAACCCAGGTTTGTGGTGACTGTGGCGCCCCCTGTTGACCAAACAATCTTTGTATCACTTCACAGGAGCTGTCACAGAGGCATCCATAATAAAATAAAGAAATGATCTGTTTTGTTACTGGTGATCTTGTTTGCTTTTCTAATTCATTAAGAGACACTAAAGAGAATTTCAGAGTGTTTGGTAACTGTTTGAAATCTCCACACAGGAGCTTTAAAAACACTTAAATTTGCAAAGTGATAAAAGTGCATGGCTGGATTTAAAGGAGGCACCAAAACTGACAAAAACCTCCTGCTCTTCAGCGAGAAAATCACAGTTTTTAGGTGTTAATACAAACAGACAGAGTTTGTTTGAGCTTGTTTGGGTCCACTGTGGCCTCTTCTGCTCCTATGACTGTTATTACTGCTGCTCCGCTCCCTCTCAGAGAGAGCACTGATAAGATCATCAACTGTCTGCCTAAAATATAAATGTGCTCAGATTCCCCACAGCGCTGTGGGAGAGAGCGAGCGTGTGCGGCAGAGCGACTGAGGAGCCTCGTTGAGAGGTTAAATGTTCCTGACTGAGAATTTGCCTCTTTTCTCATGTGTGTTATTACAAGTGACCTGAGTGACACGCAAAAACAGGTTGAGCTGCTTGAGTGACGAGCAAAACAGTCGGAGTCTCACAGTATGTTAAAGATTCATGCGGAAACTTTGAGATCTACAGGAATAGAAGAGGTCGTTTACGCAAACGCTCACATGCAGTTACGTGGCGTTAAAGTTAACCGTGCAGACAACGCTGTGTGGATCACTTTAATGTACTGAACGACGCATCAATGAGAGCCACTTTCCTCTGAGAGGCCTCTGATAATGACCGAGCCTGTGAGTGTGGTGGTGACAGGGGTTAAGTATTTGAATTTGTCAATAGCTAAATTACTGGGATAAGTGAGGGTTTTCAGGGGCAGAGGAGGACAGGCAGCCATGTTTTGCTGCTAAATTGCCCACTCTGGAGTATGGATTAGTCGATACACGCTGTCTGTTGGCCTTCAGTGGGGTATTTACTTGCTGCACAGGCCCCCCGGCCCACTCGCGCATTTGGACTTTGACTCCAGCCTGCTTGTTATTAATGTTTTAGTTTTGGTTGACCTATATTTTCTGCTGCTGGAGGAGGAGGAGGGGCTGCATGAGGGTTGAATGTTAAAGATTCCTGTGCTGTGAGCAGATGTTCGGACTGACACTTGACTTAACTCGGTGCTTTCCTTTAGTATTCACCCTTAACACCTTTAAAGCTCCTGTGAGGAGTTTTTAACCAGTTATAAAACAGACTAAAATTCATACTGATGACTCTATATATGAACCAAAAAAGCAAATATTTCTCCATAGTGTTTCTTAATGTATGAAATTGCTGGTGCAGGGTAGGTGTCGACAAAACCACCAGTGTCCTTTGTTTTCACTTCTCACAACCAAAATTCTTGAGGGATTAGACTCAAACATATGCACAGCAAAATCAAAGAAATAAGAGGTGCTGCTTTGCCCACAGGGGGCGCCAAAATCAACATGAACATTAAGTCCCTCACAGGAGCTTTAACTTTCTGAAAGCTGCCCTTTTAAAACTGCAAAGTAACATGAATTTTATGTGGTTGTAATGGAAATACACAAGATCAGACAGCAAATTAAGCATTTGTTGTGTGATTTTCTGGCTGTACATCGGTCAGTCCCCCTCTCTCTGTCTCCTCTCTCTTTCCCATTTTCTCAGTCCGTCTAATAAAGCAGACACCTGTACACCGCTGACTCTGGTTAAGTTTGAGTTTTCTGCCGGTTTAACGAGAGTTTACCCTGCAGCTGTGCCCATGTGCTTATTCATAAATCATTTATTCTTTGAATAATATATCAGAAGATCACAGCAGACTAGACCTGCTTTATTTTAGACTATCTTTTAATAACTTTCATCACAATTTGGCAAATCTGACTGGTTGATTAAAATGTTTGTGCCTTTAATCATGTTTTTTCTTTTCAAAGTTGTGCAGAAAGTTTACTTTTTGTCTTAAACTGTTGGTGTTTAATTGCACATTTTTTTGTTCATTTTGGCAAACCACAGTTAAGCTGCTGCTGCATCACAGAAAATGACAACACTGAGCTTTTAGATGGCACAATCTGTTTTAAAGAACTCGCCAAAATATCGCCAACATCTAAGCTAAACATAGAGGTGCAGGTTATCGGACTGATGTCAGCAGGCAACTGCAACACAAAAGCTGTTCGGACACCAACTTTGAACCAAAACAGACAAAACAGAAGTTGACTACATAGCTGCAAAGTGGGTGGTTACTGACTGCAAGCTAGTCAACTCTGACGACGGCTTGGGTTTGAGGGGTTAGCGTCTGGTTGGCGTGTTGAAACCAGTCATGTTTTATTCCTGGAGGGAACTAGAGTTTGATTCACACAAGACCAGAGAGCAACTAAACTGAAACTCCTGAAGAGTGTGAATGCTGTTGTATTAACCTAAAATCACTTGACAATATTTAGACAACAAACTCCTTGACATTCAGAGAAATTACTTTTTAAAATCATATTTTTATAATTTATTATGAACTTAAAAGTGTTTCCAAATGCAAAATAAGAATTTTGAATCTGCAGTTAATTACTTATGACCTCTGAATTTTTATTGTTTGGCAGCCTGAGTTTTTTCTCACACGGAGATATATTAAACATTTACAGTACTCTGTTGTAAACCCCTGAACTACCATCAGGTGCACAAGCTGTCTCTGTCATTTGACAAATGATAGAAAGCTCAAATTAGTCTATTTAAATTCCAGGTTGTAAAACTACTAAATGTGTTTATGTACATATTCAAAGCTCTGCATGGACTGTGTGCCTGTCTTTAAGGTGTTTGTTTACCTGCACAGGTGTTTGACCTGAGCAAAAAGCCAAACAAGCGTGATGGTGTTGTGTTTGCGTGCCTGTGTCAGCGCAGTAAACCTCCTCACGTGTTTTTGTGTCCTCGGTGAAGTCAGTATCTCGTCCTCGTGGGCTGCTTCAAAATTAAAACATTCACTCCAGTTCAAAGGATCTGTCAGGCTGATTCTCTTTGCCTCCCTGCTTCCTATTCAGCCCCAGAAACACAGCTCTGTCAGAGAAACAAGCTGAGGTTGTGTATGTGTGCGTGTCTGCGTGTGGTGAGACAATGACACCAACGCTGCCAAGGTTTTTAGAAAGGTCTGTCTCCCACTGAGGCCGGCACAGAAATGTTTGCTGTCACGGTGCGCTGAAAGGTGCTCGGGATAAAAGTCTCCAACAAATGATATGATGTTGTGCGCAGCAGTCTGCAGAAAGAGGTCAAACGTCCCCTTTGGGAGGAGGAAGAAGAAGGAAAAAAAAGAAGACACTCTCACTTGAAAGCAGAAGAAGTTTTTGAAAGTGACGCGGTCAGATCATGAAAGTTTTAGCACGTCTGCTCAGGCAGATAAATATTAATTCAGTCTAAACAGGAAAGTCACGCAGCAGTGTTAGTGATATTAAACGACGGAGTGAAAACAAAAGTTTCTCTTTGGATGGAGAGGGGTTCAAGAAGACGGGTCAGGCTGTCCAGAGCGTGAAGTACTTTTGAATCGATTGAGAAATGCTAAAAACAAAATGAGCCGTCTTCAGAGTTCAATCTTAAAGTGGTGAAGATTTTCATCTCTATGCTGTAACAGAATCTTACAGTACAGGCTGCATTTCCACTCATGACTCAGCCAAAGTTTCTGCTTTATTTTAAAGGATGATTGTGCATATTTTACCTGGATCATTAGGATTGAAAATAAACATTGCATCTTCTTGACAGCCTCACCTGAACCTTACTGAATAATGCAGAGGAATCATGACTAATGCAGGACCTCCAGGAGGGATGAGCGCTTTAACAGTCAATCCCACTTTCCATTTTTACAAACTCAATCTTTGCATTCAGCCGAGTTTAATCTACTGTACATGTAACAATGAAATAATGATGCGGGGTTTGTCTGATAAATGCAGGCATGAATATTTATGTTTACACAAATATTTAAGGATGCCTCTGTTTTGATTTCTGCCTCATCTAACCGGTGGAAAAACAACCGTAAAGCTGAGTGACGTCTTTTAAATTCAGGGCGATACAGCGTGACTTTCTTTACACCCGCCTGCTTTCAAATTCTGATAAAAGTGGATGTGTATTTTTTTTCCCAGTGCATGTGTTTTGACAAAAATCGTCCTAAGTAGACAAATGATGGTTTATAAACAGAAGTCAGCCGACAAAGAGGATTTAAGGACACCGTTTAATCCTGCTGACCTCAAATGCACCGGCAGATGAGCTCAGCCAATGTAAAGTGACCTGCTCCAAATTTAAGCTTATGCACACAACTTTGAGCCAGCTGTGAAAAAAGGACTATTTCCAGGGGTCAACAGGCGAAAAGATCAACTTGATATTGTCTTTGTAAACAGTTTGCAAAATTCTGTCTGTTTTCAAAAGATTTTCCTGGAATTTCATTCAGTCAGCCAACAGCTGCTGCTCTTATCTCAACAAGCAACACCACAAAAAAAAAAAAAAAAAAGAATTAAAGCAAAAACTGAATCTGTAATTTTGCAGAACAGACACTGGTTTAAAAATTCAGATATTTCTTAAGGTGACTTTTATTGCAGTGTAAAGTAGTTTGCAGCCTGTTTGCACAGCAGCACAATGTTATCTCATCTAAAGAGCAAGGCGAATTCTTTTGCATGGGATTTTTTTGGCTCATGCTCATGAAGCATGTGCTGCCTTCGAGGCTGGAAGGTCAACACTGCAAGAAAATGTTTTTTTCAACGAGACATTTACAGAAAGATATGAACACGTGGAGCCTGTAACTTTAAAAGGGCATGAAAGAAAGAAGTGAGAGTGAAAACAATCTGTACTTTACATTCACCCTCGGCGTTTGATTAGGAGTCTCAAAACACTGACAATCTGAAACTATGGAAGACGAATCTCTTCTGCAGTGATTGAACATGCAAGAAATGTCTATTTTTACAGTTTCCCTCCACACTAGAGTGACTGTGTAAGTTTATTTTTTGCAGTAAACACACTACAGCTCGTCAGGCGATTTCCACGGGTTCATTCAGCCAGAGAGAAAAGCGACCGTGTGGTGTGGCTCGCGGGTATTTTACATGAGGTAAGACTGTGTACAGTGCACACACATACACTCACATAAACACACACTCTCACAGATAGGAGAAGCAGTGCTCTAAAGCGAGAACTCTTAAGGAGGACGTCTGAGGAGGAGGACGGGTATTTCCAGCGTCTGTGTGTTTACATTCAGCCTCAGAGAACAAAGGTTGGCGGGGTCGTTGTGTAGTGGAGACGCACTCTCCTGTGTCCTTCAACAACCTCTGCCAGAGTGTCCTTGAGCAAGATTGCTCATCCTCTAAGACGCTGCTGCTGCTGACCCTGTTTTGTCCTCTTGGAGGGAAAATACAGACAGCCAGACGTGACCAATTCATCTCATGGATTTTGAAGTGAATCAAATTCACTCTTTGCTCTCAAACGCCTCAGTGCGTAAAAATGCGTAAAAATATCAAGTTGTCCACTATATGACGCAGAATCAAATAAATCTACAATATCAAGTCCTTTTGACCACAGAGGCGACTCTTAATCCTGATAAACGCTCCAAATTGAGGAGTTTTCTAAACGATTTATTGATGGTTGGAGTTGATCCAACGTGCGTAAACAAACAAAAGTGAATCTCTGCCAACGCAGATGTTCGCAGAAAGAACTTTTGGCTCCGTTTTGCTTCACATTTTAAAATATGTACCCTCGCATCCCTGCTGAATGGGACGTCGCCGCTGAATGATAATTAATAAGGGAAGCGCTCCTCTCCACCAACACGTTTGCTGTGCTCCTCTTTGGCACTAACTGACCCGTTGTTAATCCAACACAATACAACAAATGTAGCGGCATCCTCTTATAGCGGCTCGGGGTGTCGGTGAGCAAACAGCGTAATTAAAACAGAGGGACAAAGGAGGGATTTCACAGAACACAGCGCACCGCAGTGAATGCGCTAGATTTGGTAAATGAATGTGGAATAAGCATTGTGGAGCCGCAGGTGGTGACTGATTATTTACCCATAACAACAGCGGCTGTGGAATAAACATTTAGAGCAACAGGCGTGAAGACATAACGCGTATTTTACGCACAACATCTCACGCTTGGAAGTTTAATTAGACATGTGAGATGGAAAAAGTGCATGAGTCACAGATTTAGATTTGTATTCTTCTTTTTCCCCCAACAGAAGTATATCATTGTGGAGTTTCTTGGATGTTTTCTTGCAACAAATCAGCTCTTATGTGCTTTTATTATTGTAAATTGGAGTAGAAACACATTTAAACGAGTAAAACAGCTCAACTCAAGCAAATGTAGAGAAGAGTCTGAACTAGTTAAAACTTTTACGGTTGAGCTCCAGCCTTAATAGCCTGTTAAGTTTGATATTTAACATCATTACGCACAAGTTTACGCACAGAATTACGCGTTTGTAAACAGACGTCTCTCATGTTGAATCCATCAGACACACACACACACACACACCGCATAGCTGTGGTCTTACCTTCTCTCCTCATGCCGACTTTGAGGCACTTCTTGAGCCGGCAGTACTGGCACTGGTTCCTGTGGTGCTGGTCGATGGGACAGTCCCGGTTCCCCCTGCAGGTGTACGACAGGTTCCTCCTCACTGAACGTTTGAAGAAGCTTTTGCATCCCTCGCAGGTGAACTGACCGTAATGCTTCCCGCTGGATTTGTCCCCGCACACCATGCAGTCCACGTTGGGGATCTTGTCCCCGGAAAGCGCATCGTTCCCCGGGGTGGAACCGTTGGGGGTTCCCGGTGCCCCGCCGGGCTCCTGTCCGCAAATCTGGAGCTGAGAGCCCGGATCTGCAGAAATGTTCTCTGGCCACTGGTTTACTACCATTGCCATGCTATCCCCAAACACTTTGGTCTTTGTTTAAACCACAGAAGGAGGAGAGAGTGTGTGATAGAAATCCGTCCTGACGTGTTGGTGGAAAACACGAGGGAGGGCAAAGGCGCTTCCCGCTTCCTGCGGACCAGTCCGTTCAATTTACACCTTTTTTCTCTGTTTCGGTGAGTTTTTGTCCTGTAAACATCTATCAAAGTTTACGGTCAAAACGAGGTATCGTCATGATCGATGCAGAGAAGCGAAGCCGACAACAACAACTCCCGGTGTTCGTGTCTGCGCCGAAATCCATAAACACGCAGTTCTTCAGAGTGAAACCTCTCCAAAGCCAGTCCAAAAAGTCCGATTTCAGGCTGTCAACTACAGTTTTATGTCACGTTTACTTCCCAGTAGAAGTCAAACGGGGTCTGATCACACTATAAGAAACAGTCAACAAGATCTCACTGGTCCGGACTGTCTGTTTTTCTGTTTTCTGTCTCGCTCTCACTGCAGCGTTTAGATTCACTTGAGATCAATTCTTCGTCTTCAATGACCTGATTTAATACTGACCACAGTTCACGCTCCTCGGTGGAGGGTTTCTCTAGTTTCCCAGTGAGCTCCAGGAGTGAGAGTGAAGCTCAGTCCCGACGAGAAGAGTCACTCCGGCTTTCTCCTGTTAGCTCTCGCGCGTGAGGATACGGATAGACGTCAACGTGCCGTGTTTATTCAGAAATATCCTCAACGAAGAAGAAGAAGAGATGGACCAAGCTTCGCCGCTCGACAGCTTCGCTTCAGCTCGCTTCTCCCTCCGACTGTCCGTCCCTCCTCTCGGAGTCAAAGCTACAATTTGGGGGAAAGTGTCACTCGCTGCTCTGCCTCGTCTGGCTGCCCCCCTGGCGGCGCTCCATGTAAGGTCATAACTGCCAAATAAGGTCGTAGCCACGCCCCTCGGCGGGAGAGGTGAAAGCAGAGGTGCTGGCTGTGATTGGCCCCAAAAGTCCGTTAAAAAGTAAGGAGGTCTCTGATTGGACGGCGGTCGATTAAGAGTGAGTTTGACTGACAGGAGCGGTTGTTGTGATACGGGTGCTTTCAAGTGGAGCTCAAACAGAGGAGAACCGATGAACATTTGATGTGTCGAAGGTTTTTATTGAACGTGTGGACCAGACTGAACAAACCTGTTGTGGTTGTGTATTTTAATAAATCTTTAAAAGTTAACCAAAGCTCGGTTAAAGTCGTATTTTACTAAAAAGAGGCGGCAGAGGCAGCATGAACCAGTTTGGTCTTTGTACAGAGACTCGCTGTTATATTTAAAGATTTATTTTATTTATTTCTCTGTTGAAAAAGAGAAGAAATCAAGTCAATCCACAGAAATAAGAGTTTGGTAATTTTGTGTTAAAGCTGAAGGGGCAACGTTTCTATGTACTTTACACACATTTTAAATCAATATTATTAATTTTAAAGCCCAACCCTCAGGAGTTTATAAAGGCACACAAAACGAAGAAAATATAGAGTCATCCAAAGTGGCATTTTCCCTCCATAACTCCCATACATTTTACCTGTCTTTATCCCAGACTTGTATATATAGATATACACATATATGAATTTATGTTTCTGTCATAAATTTAAGTAATAATAACAATCTCATTTTCAGCTTTGTGTGAGAAAACTACCATAACGACCAGTCTGGATCAAGAAAACTGAAATTAGGCAGGTATATATTAGGCAAACATAACTTTAAAAGTTTTTGACACTGAATTTTATGAAAGAAAATGTTGTTGTTGTTGTTGTTGTTGTTGCTGTTGTCGTGTACATTAGTTGTTGATAGTGTGTGTTTGTGTCTAAAAACGTTTTCAGAGTAAGTGTGTATATAAAAGATCACGTGATGGGACTTGGCTTTCCAACGTATTTTTGTGCTTTTTCATGACATGTAATAATAAAACGTTTTCTCTGAAAATAGGATTTGTAGCTGTTTATTGTTTTGCCCTCTGATGGTGGACTGGAGGTCACAGTTTACCAGCCGTTTTATCTGCGTGCTGCACTGCTGTGCCATCAATCTTTGGTCAGCTGTCCTGACCATTAACTGCTAAAGTCATATTTGCACAAACAAGCCTAAACATTTTGTTGTTAAAACTTAAAAATAAATACATGAATGAATCAAAAACTTGCAGGACAATAATTAAGGTCACACAACTCTCAGGTCAACTACAACTACAAATGGTGTCAAACTTCTCACCAGGCCCTACAAACCCAGAGAACACTTCAGCAGCAGAGAAAGTGTTGATTTTGTCGCCTAGTCGTGTTACAATAGTTTGTGAAAGCAAACTAAAGACCTCGGCTGTAAATAACAGTGGCAACCAGTCACGAGTGGGGATCTGATTGTTTTTCCAGACCAGATCAGGGTCCCGAGATACAACTCATGAACACAGAGAGATCTATCTATCTATCGTGTCATGCGTAATTACGCACTTAAACATTAACTCTTTTTCTATTTGTCTTCGTTTCAAGCCCACAAACACCTTTAAAATAGTGGTATACAAACGATAGCTGAAAAATACTTCAGTGAGAAACAATACGTAAAACAAACTAACAGTAAGAACACCAAACTTTACAGATATGTGTGAGAAGAAGAGAAGTGAAAAGGTGATAAATAAACTGAATATTATGGTCTTTTTTTCCATCACCAGTTCACAGCAGCAAGTTAACACACAAAGCAGAGGTTTAGTTTTGCTTCAATAATCATGACTTTTTGCGCACAGCGTGAAAATCCGTGATTTTCTCTTCGCAATAAAGTGAAGAAAGCGCTGAAAAACACTGAGGTGACTCTGGCTCCGGAGTGCAGCGCCCGAGGCCACGAGCTTGGCCCCGCGCGCGGCTTAATTGCTGTCACATGTAACCTTACCTGTCTCCCAATTAGCCCTGTGACTCGCTATTAGCAGATTCCACGAGCTGCAGGCCAGTGACCGAGGGCACCTCGGGGTTTGGGCTCCGATAATTAGAGAGTAATTCTATATATCTCAGGCTTATGATGAATACGAGCAGGACTTTGGTGAAGAAAGGGGTTAATAAAACGAGGATCAACTGAGTTTGGTGAAGTGTGTGATGTCCATGTATTTGACTCGTATAAAACAATACTTGATAACAACGCTGACATGTGATAAGTGATAACTCTGTGATTATAAGAGGCTCGAATCTCGTTATCTGTTATACAAAAAAAGGAGAAATATAAACTGCAAACAAGGGGCTGCATTCAAGAGCTTTTAATTTAAGGATCATTAGTGTGCATAGTGTATTTTCATCTGCTTAGTCCTTCTCAGTTAAAACATTTATTGTTGCTTTTCACCATTTCATCAAGAGAAGGTTAAACACTTAGTTTCTCACACCAATTGCAGCCTTTTTATAATTTGATCTATTTTGTCTTGTACACTTAAGTTTGAGAGTGAGTATTTAGATCTGATATCATCCTTTATGAGTTCACACTTCAAATCTTGTCCAGTTATTGCCATCTCCAAAGTGTTAAGAGTCAATTCAACTCAGTGTTGTGTTTAAATAAGTCATCAGTTTCACATCTTTATTACTTAGACACTGCTTACAATAGAAGTCTCTGACTCCACCACTCTTTTACACAAACCCAGGACATGGTATTCCACTAGATATGCTATTTTCTTCTTTTCTGTTCAACACATGAGACTCTTCATTTAAATCTGCTTTAATAACATTGAAATGCATTTTAATTTTGGCTGCTGGGCTGGAGTTGTTTTGTACGTATGTGTTTGCACATATTTAAATATGTATACATGTTTCTATTTATAGACATTTCCTCTCTTTTCATACACTTGTGTCGACGAGTTCATTTCTTTCTTGTCTCTTTGTTTTTCATTTAAATTTCTTACAAAATGCACATACATATATCAGCTGTTAGATCCATAAAAACTGTCTTAAAGTTGCAGAATATATTTGATAAACTGCAGATTATCTTTAATTCTGATAGGAGGAAATTGCATGGCTTACACATTTCATGATAAGTGACCAAAACTATAAAAAGACGAAAAAAGGTGTGCAAAAACAGAATCTGCTTTGCAAATTTGCATCGTCTGAAAATTTAAAGGAGATACTTTAAAGATTTACTCGACTATTTTATGTGCAGTATGCGAGGGACTTACACTTTAAATAGAAGTTGCAACATATTGACTCAACTTTATCTTAAATGTTGTTCATTGTTGTTGTTTCATTGTGATCTCTTATCTGCAAAGAATAAGATAAAAATTCATGTCTATGGTGTCATATCATGTCACACTTTAAATACATCAATTAAAAGTGAGGATGAATTGACCAAAAATGATGTGAGCAGTTTTCCTTTGACAGATACAGGAACAATATTTAAATAAATTACGATTAAATTTGTATGATTTAGTTTCGAGGCCACGTTTAGACATTTATTCACATTCAAGATCAAGTAAACCTCATCGAACAGGTCTGATATATTTGGTTTTCCGCTCCATCAAAGCTTTCAAACATTTCCAAATTTCACTGTGGAGGCGTCTTTATTTTGACGAGTCATAATTTCCTTAAAGAACCTCAAACAAATCCAAATGAAAATCGTCCACTCACGTTCGACGCTGAGTGATGGACGTCTGCACCAACTGGCTGGAGTCCTGGCTCTGACACACGAGGGTGTCAGGACGAGGGCAAGAGGTGGTAAACATGACCGCACCGGATGGCCTAGGAAACACAGGGGCTGCCGCTTTTCTTGTTAATTTATGGACTGCCTGACAACACCAGGGCCCACAATGCAACGCTCCGCTTCAGCCGCTGCTAAATATGATCCCATTGAGGAAAGGAGCCATCAAGAGAGCAGGTATACATGTAACCTGAGCGAGCTACTGAAATAGAAATTCAAAGCTGAGAATGACATGTTTGTCGGGAAAGGCTCGTGGACAGAAAGTATCAGGATGCTGTTGTGTTCGCTGGAGGTCAATCTGCAGTGGAAAGGCTCGCTGATAGATGGACGAGTAAGAAGAAGGACATGAGAGTTTATATGAAAACGTGAGAAAGTGAACAGAGCTCCTAAAGAGGCGCTGATGATTAACTTAGTGCAGGTTTTACTTCATATTTTAAACTCAAACATCCTGAATTCACCCTGTGTTAATCCACCAGGGTGTTCAGTCACAGAGCTGAGAGTTTCTGAGACTCAGATCTGTTTCCTTTGCCCGATTGGGGTTGATTAAGAGGTTAACTGCAGAGAGGCATGGCGTCTTTAAGGAAGATTTATCTGTTCCTGCTCTGACCCCTCGGGGGAAGCTTCCCTCACCCCCAGTGTCCCCAGGATTTATTTAGTTATTTGTTTATCTGTTTCGGAGGGGTCACTCTTTTCTCTGCACTACATCTCAGCCCTGTTTGTGCGTCTCGAACCCATTTTTCATCCCGTTTCTGGTGGGATCATGCACGGAGCTGGTTCCATTTGCTGACTAAGCGAAGAGGACACGAGCGAAGGCCCCACAGAGTCTCGTGACCTTTGACATTTGGCAGCGATACACTCCCAAAATTGGTTATTTTCATTTAACACGTATTTTGCTATCTGTTCAACTTTGGCCCCCATTTGGAGGAATTATGGTGTTTTCCTAATTGCTTCCTGACAGTTTTAATTCAGCTCTGCTTGAATTTATGGGCTTTATTTCCTATTTTTGCATTAATTCATCTGAGTGCTTGCGTATTTCGCTCAAAGGTGGTGAACCGTAGTTTATAATCCTGACAGATGAAACTTTATTTAATCATTTCACACAGGAAAATGTTTGTAAAAGCATCATCAGTACACTTCAACAGTTTTTTATGGCATCCCGGCAACTTATATTTATTTACTTTTGCTGTTTAGATTCATCATAATGTCATTTTCTGATGCATTTGAATTTGTCAAGAGATAAAATCTTCTAGACGACCAAAAAACTTTTACCAAACTTTTACCTAAGTTGTCGGAGAGCTTCTCAAAAAACTCATTCAACAACCTCAAATCCTCAAGTGATCGCTAGTACTCACTATCTCTCAAAATGTCACACACACGCTCACTCAGCCGCACATACTCTCACACCTCTTGTGTAAGGATGGGGGAGTGAGGGGTGGGGGTGTCACTGT